TGAAGGGGGCCGTAGGGTAGCCTTGTTGACAAAGTGACTTGTGAGCAAAGGCTTGAAGGATGAGGAGTGGGCAGTGCAGATACTCAGGGGAAGAACGCTCCAGGCTGATGTGAAGGCGCAGGGTGGGCACAAGCCCAGGACAGCAGTGAGGCCAGAAGGCCGGGAGCAGAGGGGCAGGGCGGGAGATGAGCTCGGCGTGGGGGCAGACCCATGGGCCACCGCATGCCCTCTGAGGACTTCCGCAATGGTCCAGTGAGATGGGAGCAGAGGAGGGGCAGGGTCCAACTTAGATTTTAAAAGGCTCCCTCTCGCTCTTTGGCTGCTGAGTGGAGGAAAGAGTTTGGGGAGCAGAAGGGAAGCACGGAGATTGCTGGGAAGTGATGACGGTGTCGGGGCGAGGGATGGCCGTGGTGCAGATGGATAGCTGGTTGAATCATCTGGATGTTCTGGAAGATGGACCAACAGGACTGGCTGACAGACTGGATGTGAGGGTGCGGGATAGCAGGTCAGACAGCCCCTGGGGTTTGTCACCTGGAAGGGGGATGTTGCTGTTGGCTGAGGTCAAGACGGCTGGAAAAAGCAGTTTGGGGGTGTGGATTATCAGGTGTTCTGGTCCTGGAACCTGCATTTTATGCCGTCGCTGTCCTTCCATTTGAGGGGCAGAGCTTAGACCAGGGCAGGTTCCCTCTGCCCCAAACCTTCTGGAATACAGAAGCAGCATGGCCCCCATCTGCTTCAGGAGCCGCATGCAATGAGAGCAGGACAGTCTGGGGCCAGCGGGCGGCTGGAAGAATGTCCGCCTGTTACAGAACTCAGGTTCAGCTGCTCGTCGCTCAAGAATCCGAATACTGAGACTTCCCTGGAGGTCCAGCGGTTAGGACTCTGCCCTTCCACTGCAGGGGGCACGGGCTCTATCCCTGGTTGGGGAACTAAGATCCCACAAGCTGCATGGCACGGCCAAAAAAAAGAAAAATCCAATGCTGAGAGACAAGTGTTGGGTAAAAGGAAAGGTAGCTTTATTGAGGAAGCTGGTGATCCTGGGAGAAGGTGGACTCACATCCCAAAGATCCAATTTCCCCGTGTTGATCAGGGGGCAAGAGCTTTTAAAGGGGAGTTTCAGGGGTGCTTTATGGGCAGAGGGAGGAGGCTATGTACAGAGCAGCACAGTTAGCTCTGACGGTCATCTTGAAATTGGTCATGTGGTCATCTGAGCAGGGCCACCTGATTGTTTTAAGTACAGTTAACCTTCAACTCCAGGGTCAGTTTGTTCCCATTTCCCTGAGGCCAGTTCTTGGAATTGTGCAGGATGTAGCTTGTTTCATGGCTACAGTCTGGTCATCATGCGGTTACTTTTTACACCTGGTGGGGTTTCAGTAGCTGCAAAACAGCTCAAAGGACATGGCTCAGAATATGACCTGTAGCCCTTGCGCAGGGACTAAAAGCCCTTGACTTTGTTTAATGGCTAAACCATTCTTATTTTGTCCCGTTTGACTGCTTTTCTTTGCTTTTTCATTTTCTCGTTTCTCCGATTAAATTTATTCTTGGGCTAAAGTTCTTCTACAGATAAGAGGCAGGCGTATGTAGGATGTTGTGGGGTGGAGGGGTGGAGCTGTGCTCCAGGAAGGCCCCATAGGGCCCTGCTCCGTTACACCCCACCTCACCTGCAGGCCAGGCCAGTCTTGGTGGTAGATTCTGAATAGCTCCCATCTTTGCACACAGGTCCTTCCAAAACTGTCGTCTTCCATTATCCACGAGATCGATAGCATTTTGGGCAATAAACCCTACAGCAAAAAGGACTACAGATCCTAAGAAGCCCCCGGCCGTTTGCCTGGACGGTTTCCGTTTCCCTCCTAGCCTCTCTGTTAGCTCGCTTAAGCTATTTGAAGCCAAGTCAAGAGTGTGGTTTGCTTCAAAAACAAAACAACGCAGCAAGATGTCGCCGGGAAGAGACCGCAGAAGTCGCTGCCACACACCACCCGCTGCTTCGCAGGACCGCTGTCGGGTTCGTGTCGGGGAGTCGGCATTGATTCGAAGGCACTCGTGCGGTCCCACCCAAGCCTGCCGTCTCTGCTCCTCCTCCAGGAAACCACCATGTTTTCGCCCAGCCACGGGCCGTCTCAGAGACTCAAGTCCAGGCCAAGCCAAGACCAGCTGGGGCCTGGGGGCGGGCAGAGCCCGCCTCTCCTCTGCCGAGAACCCCACCCGGCATTGGGGAAGGGAAGAGGAAGCCGGGTCTGCCTCTTCCTGTGGCCCCTCGGCGGGGCCCTGGTCAGGGCAGGCCTCCCTCTGGGGTCTCCCTCATTCCCCCTCTTGCCAAGGGCTCCGGGTACTTTCCTCGGGCCTGACCCCGGATTCTTCCCCCAGCCCCTTCTCCCAACCACCCGCCCCAGTGTGTCTCCGAGGGGCCTTCCGAGCTGCCCCTTGACCACCCCCACCCCCCGCCACCTTGCTGGCAGGGGCAGGGATCCAGGGAGATTCGCCCTGCAGTTTGGGACGCACAAAAAGTTGGGGGGCTCTGATTTCAAGCTTCTCGCCCTGCTGGCTTCCTCCCCGCAAACAATTGATGAGCCCCAGTGCCTGGGCTCCAGTCCAGGTCCCTCCAGGGCCCCACCTGCCCTCCCTCCCTGCCAGGCGCCCAGTCCTCCGCCCCTCTGTCCTCGCCCCAGAAGGCCCCGAGGTCACACGTGCTCAGCTGGACTGGCTGCTGACCACACACCAGGTAGCCAGCCTCTGCTGTGCCGGGGGGTGGTGGCCTTGGGGTCTGCAGAGAGCACGTGCTGGGACCCCTTCAACGAGGGAGAGTCCCTGGGGTTTTCTGTGCTGTGTGCCTGGGGCCTGGGGGCCAGCCAGCAGCAGCCCCCGCGGTCTAGGAAAAGACCCCGGGAGCCTCTCTGTGGAGCGGTGCCCCCTGCGAGGCCGCAGACCAGGTGGGTGGGGTGGGGTGCTCAGAGCTCGTTACCAGGGCAGCAGAGCCGCCCCCGGGACACCTCCACACAGCCCACGAAGACGGAGGGACGGCTGGGGTCGGTCATTCCTGTCCACACCAGCCCCCCCTCCCCCCAAGCCTGGAACAGACTGGGGACAGGGAGGGAGGGCGGGACATTCACAAGTGTCAGCCACTTTGTAGCCGGGCCTGGGGCTGCAGGGATGGAGGCGGGGAGGCGGGCCGGCCGCCAGGAGGCGCAGCCCCATAGTCCTGAGCGGCACCCAGCCTTTGCTGGCCGTGGTGGGTGGGAGTTGGGGGCCAGGCTCTGCAGACGCCCCAGCCCACCGAATACGGGCCCTCGTGCCCTTGGGCAGACATAGCCCATCCTGCTTTGCCCTTCAGAGAGGCCCCTCCCTGCCATTATTCTCAGAGGGGCCGCCGTCCAGTCCTGGCTGAGCCAAGGCCTGGGAAACTGGCTTTAAGAAAGCCACAGAAGTGGGGGGAGGGGGGACCTTCTTCCACTCCTGACCTTTGTGCTGGCCCTGGAGTCTGGAACATTCTCCCTCTTTGTAGACCAGGCCCCTGGGGGTCGTCTTCACCAAGTCCCCTGCACACTTCAGCCTGTGGGTGTGGGGAGGGGACAAGCCTGTCCCAGCAGAATCCACAGCCACTGCCCACCACCACACAGTGGGATGTGGCTCTGAGGGCAGGACACTGCAGTGGGGCGGCTTTCATCCCAGGTCCATCCAGGCAGGGACCAAGTGCTCTGGGCCAGGCAGTCCCAGCAGCTGGCCGTGCTCAGGGGCCAGGTTACCGGCCGCTCATTGGCAAGATGGCTGGGACCTCTCCACACTGCTGTCACCCTGCCCACCCACTGCTGGAAGAGGGACCAGGGCGTGCAGTCGGGGCCCTGCCACCCCCCCACCCCATGAGCCACACCTAGGAAGGCCGAGCCCGCTAGCTGCATGTTTCCCAGACAGAGGGAGACGAGGGCCCCCAGGGTTGAGCTCTACCGAGGTCTAAGTGCCCAGCGCAAAGACCCAAGCAGCTTCCCGGTCCTGGGGCACCATCCACGGCCTGGTTCTGTATCCCCGCTGCAAGTGGGTGTGGAGGGATGCCACCCTGCTTCCTGAGGGAGGGTCCCCCGACTTCAGGGGTGCTGGAGTGGGGCCCAAGGGCGGTCAGAGCCTGGAAACAGAAGAGCTGGGCCGAGGCAGGCCCTGGAGGGGCAGCCTGGGCCCCGCCTGGCACGGGTTTCAGACCAGCCAGCCGCACCCTACCTGCTTGAAGGGAAGCCCGCCAAGAGCCCCAGCTGCCAGCCAGCCTCTCACCCTCCCCTTGAAGCAGAGTTTTTGCCCCCAGGGGTCCACCTGGCAGTGCCCCACACGGGAAGAAGGCCCAGTCTGGGTCAGGGCAGGACCAGTCTTCCTTGCTAATGACACACAGAGCCCCCAGCATTTTTCACCCTGAATCTACGGCAAATTCGAGGTCCCGAGGACGAGATGGGGGCTTGCTCTGTCTTCTGTTCTCTCCAGTCATGTAAATAATGTGCTCCTTTTCTCTCCCCGCCTTTAATGACTGTGGCTCCTCAGCTAACTGCATCCCCTACACAGGCAGAGATGCCACATGCCTCGCACTTCCAAGTGGCGCTCCGTGGAGACGCAGCGCGTATTTATGGAATGACAGAATAAAACCCCAGCCCGTCAGGGTCTGCGCCCCTCCTTTGCGGGGTCCTCGGGGTCAGGGCTGGGCCAAGGGCAGTGGGAGGGAGAGGAGGCTGCCCCCTGCAGAGGCCAGCCGGTGGGGGCTGAGCAGAGGTTGGGAGAAAGGGGCCCTGGGGGAGAGGCGAAGACTGGGCACCGAGACCCCTTCGCTCCCAAGTGATTCAGGGGTGGAAGTTGGTGGGAGGCTGCTGGACCCGCCTGGGGACAGAGGTCAGGGTCCAGGGAGGCCTGTGGGCTGTCTCCGGGGGCTCAGTGTTCCTCTGAGCAGTGCTGTTTCAGGGGGCAGGTGGGAGGGGCGGGCACCACCCCTGGACACCCCTTTTTGGGGCGCCCCCTTCCCAGCGAGCCTTTCAGCCTCACAGGGCCGTGTCTCCTCAGGTGGGAGGTGGCTTTAGATGACATCCCCCTCACATCCTTCCCCAGCCACCCCCATCCTAGATCAGTGAGAAGCTAGGAACACGCTCTTTGATCCAATCCTTTCCCAAAGGATTTATTAAAACACAGAAAACCAAGACATACACAGAGTACAAAGTAAAGGGAACCGGGTCGGTTACACTCTTTATCGAGCCTCCTACACATCCTCCTGAGGACCGGACAGGTGACTACACACAGGGGCTCAGCCTCCAGCTCCGGCTGCCTGGCTGGGACCGTCCCGACTCGCCCCAGCGCCCCGGCCCCTTCACCAGCTGGGGGCTCTACCAGGCAAGGGGCCGGCCCCTCTCAGCTGGGCCAGATGCCAGCCTGGGTGCAGGCGTCTGCTCCCTCGACCTCCCACGCACCGATGCCCAGGCAGGGGGGTGGGCCCCTCCCCTCAACCCCAGGCACAGAGGAGCCATGGGAGGCTCAGGCTCCCAGCTCAGTATCAGGGGTTCAGGACACACACACACCCAACGGGCCCTTTCTGGGTTATCGCACCTAAAAAAATACTTTGTTTAAAAAAAATCTGAAAACTAAGAAAAAAATCCCAAAACACAAGCCAATGACTTTGGGCTGATGCACCACAACTGTAAACTTCCAGAAATATAAAATGGGGCGAGAGCCAGCTTCCTCGACAGAGATAGTGGTCGGCACAGGTCAGCTGCAGGTACGGAGGGGGCACCCTGGACCGTGGCCGGGCCAAGACCTCAGCCCCCCGCCTCCCAGCTAAGCTCCTTCCTGCCACCCCACTCTGGGCACACTCCGGAGGTCCCCGAGCCTACCCTCTACACAATCCCCTCAGGCCCTCAGCATTCCTGGGACCCAACACCTGGCAGCAAGGGCTACAGGTGTCCCTGGGGCAAGACTCAGCCAGCCCCTGACCTGGCCCAGGGAGTCCCCAGAGGACCCTGGGAAGGGACGCCCAACCAGCAGGAGGGCAGGTGGCTGCACGGGTCGTGGTACCAGCAGAACAGGACCATGGTCATCACTTGCAGAAAACAAAGGAGCTTCTGAAGGCGGCTTGCAGGGAGGGCCCCCTTGCACAGGGGGTCTCAGGATGTGCTTCCATGGTGGGCGTGTGCAAGGGGACCCCCGGACACAGTCAGTCCAGCCCAAACTCCCCTGGTCACCCAGGAGCCCAGCCAGCTACGCCTTCCGAGACTGTGGCCCCAAGATGGATCAACAGAAAGCCTACTCAGCACTGGTCTAAATGATAAGGTGGCTGGAAACGGAAGCACGGGCACTTTCGGCTTCCGCTTGCACAGGATGACTCTCCTGCCCGCGGCAAAAACCAAACCCAGCCTGAAGATGCCGAGGACCGTGATGGCCAACGCCCCCTCCCCACCACTACGACTTTCGGCAGGAGATAACTTGATAAACCAAGAAGAAAACATTCCTAAGATCCTTTTTCCTCTCCAAAACCAGTCAGCCAGAAACCCACTCCCCAGCTGTCCGCAGCCCCCCTCCCAGGCCTCCCAGGTGCTGGTCTTGGAGAGCTGAGCCCTTCCTGGACCAGGCAGTGCCGGGGCCCAGGCAGTGCCGGGGCCCAGGCCATCTGTGGGCGCCTGGCTCTGGGTGGTAGAGGAAAAGGGCAGAGGCCTGGGAAGGAGCAAAAACAGAAGGGCAGAGGGAAGCTTGCTGGGGAGCAAGGGCTGGCAGGGGAAGGACCCCCTGCCCTTGGAGTGAGGCAGTGGGGACAACACAGACCCCCGTCCTCTACCATGTGCCCCCTGACCTGACATTCAGGATGCATCCACTGTGTTCCCCACCAGGCCAGCCAGTCTGGCAGGCTGACTGCCTGCTTGAGAGGGCGGAGTCACAGGGCCCCGTGTCGGGGGCTCCTGGCGGTCACGCTGCCCATGACCTGAGCCGGAACCTCTGCGGGGGGGACGGGTCAGAGGACCACGTGTGTACACATGGCGCTGGACAAACCATAGGGGACAGGAATGACCCCACCCTTCCGGGAGGCGGGGTCAGCGGCTGTCACGTGTGTCCTGGACATCTGTGCCCCCACCCCCAATCCTCCACCCACAGTGCCAGGGTTGGCCAGCCTGGAGATGGCAGGGGCCTTGGGGGTCCAGCCCTCTAGGGGTTCAGGGAGAGCCATTTACAGTTGAGGACATCTGGGCTCTGGGAGGGCTGGCCAGTGGCCCTGTGTCCCCAAGACATCCCCAAATCCTCGCCCCAGTCCTGGCCAGGGAACAGAACCCCCCTGGTGCCTCCACGCCCAGGCCCAGCTTGTCTCTCTCAGACAGGATTCTGCACCCAGGGCTCCACGCCAGGAAGGCCCCTCCCTGCTCAAGGCTCGGAATTCCCTTCCAGGCTGGGCCACAGGGAACATGAGACACAGACAGGCCCAGGCCCTGGCCCCGTCCCTCCCTTCCTCCAAACTGGGGCCATCACAGCGCACCACCAGCTGCCTGAAGGAGGGTCAGGATTCCAGTGGGGCGTTACTGGCAGGAAACAAGGCAGGAAGCTGGGGGTGCTCCAGCTGGGAAGACTGCAGAGGCCACTGGGGCCAGTCCCCTGCCTCCAAGCTTTCCCCAAGCCTTCCGAGAACACAGCGAGGGCAGTCGTGGCCCACCCCAGATGGCAAATGCCCAGATCAAGGCCTCTCCAGGGACAAGGAGAGAGGGAGGGATAAGTCCAGGCTCCAGCGTGTGGCCTGGTTTCTCCACATCTGCGGCCAGGAGATGGCACGGGGAGTGTGTGTGTACCTGGAGGTGGGGCTGACCGGCCTCCCAGGGCACAGGGCAGGACCAGGGGCTCCTGGGCCCCCCTCAGCGCTGCTGTGACCCTCCCCACTGGAACGCTAGCCACACCCCGCTAGAGGGAGGGCACGCCCCTTCCCATGGAGGCCTGAGACAAAGGCTCCGGCAGCCCCCAGGCCAACACCTGCAGGCTCTGCCCTCCCCTTCCCTCCGGGGAACAAGTGACCGGCCACTCAGGGCAGGGGCCACAGACCCTCCGCTGGTGACGACAGAGTCCAGGGCCTGTGAGACAGGCTGGGCCAGGGACAGACACCTGTCCCACGGAGACAGCACATACTTGGTGGTCTCCAGCCTTGCAGGAAGCAGCCTGGCCTGACCTGGGCGTCAGCCAGGTCTCTAGCCTCGGGCCGGCCAGTTCCCCAGTCCTGACCCACCTGGCACCGGGGGGCCTCACGGGCAAGGGGCTGGAGCACGGTGCAGACGGGATTGGGGGATGGGGGCAGACTGAGGGCACCCAGAGCGGGCAGCTCGCCCTCCTCAGCCGGGCCGAGTCCGTGGGCGGCCTCTGGGCTCCCAGGAGCTTCCCTTCAGGTCTGGAACCCGTCGGCAGAGAGAGACATACGTGCTGCAAGTCAAGACTCCTCCACACGTCACTCAACTTTTATCAAGACAAACTTGTTCAAGTCTTCAACAGGAAAGTGCAAAAGATGTACAAAGAAATGAAAGCTCCTCTAGGAAGCCATCCTGGCAGAGGTGGCCGAGGGGTGCGTCCCGGGTGGCGCTTCTGGGCTCAGGCGGCCTCGTCCCCACAAGGTGGCATTTCTCCGTTTCCCTTTCTGTCCTCGGGTGGCGTGGCTCTAGAAAGGTGGCAGCTTTTCTCTCCTGCGGGGGTCGGGCAGGGGGCCCGGCAGGCGCGGCTGCAAGAGGCAGATCACGGGTCACACAGCTGGGTGCTCGGGTCCCCACGGGGGTGGCACCCAACACCCTAGACCACCCACTACGACCTGTCATGGCCAACTGACAGCAGGGGGTCCCCCAGCCCAGACCTCCCAGCCTCGGGCCACGACCACACTGGGGAGTGGAGGCGGCGGGGCCCCCAAGGAGCAGCCTGTCCGGAACAGCCCCGCCCCCGAGCCTCCGCACCAAAGCAGAGGTTCTGATGGGACACACAGCTTAGCGGGCGCTGTCAGTGGGGCAGAGGAGGCCACAGCGGACTGGTGGTTTCTCAGGACTAAAACCCTCTCCCAGCCGGTAACACTGAGCTGCACCCACGCTGAGCCACCCTCCTGGTCCTGGGCAGGGGTTGGGGGTTGGTGACGTCCCAGGGCGTCCACCACCCGGCAGGAAAGCGCAGGCAGAACAGTGGAGTCAGGGTTCCAGGCTGGGGGCACCGGCCCCTGACTCACCGCCGGGGTCACGCACGCACACCAACACACCGGCGCACAGACGCACGCGTGTACACAGAGGAGCACGCCCACGTGCACCCACCCTGCCATGTGCTGCCCCCCCAGGCTCCCGGGGAAGCGTCTGGAAGCCTAGGAAGACACACCGGCCCCAAGACGGTCCCCGAGCGTGGAGGGGCGAGGCCCCCGGGCCCCAGGGCCGTGAAGAAGCACGGGGACCAGGGCCCGTACTGGCCTGGCCTGACTCGCCAAGCCAAGGAGGGACAAGGGATGGCGCAGCGCCCACGAGCGGCCTCACCTCCACTGGAAACGAGCCCGGCAGCAGAGGGAAATCTCGGGGACGGCTAGATATCTGTGGCAAAGAGAGGAAAGCTCGGCTTGCCTGGGGAGGCGGGGGGCCGGCTGGGGCCCCGCGGGCGCCCCTGCCCATGCCGCCCGGAAGCAGACGGGCACCTACCGGTCACATAGGGCCCCAGGGGCATCTGGTTGTAGTTGACAATCCCTCCCGGTCCAGGGCCCCGGAAGTTGGGCCCAAAGTTGTTGCTGTACATCTGGGAAGAGCCGAAAGCGCCCTGGAGGCAAGGACTCAGGTTTAAAGGTCCAAGTCCCGCGCCGGCCCGAGCCCCCACCCAGGGCGCCCAGGACGTGCGTGGGGGGCTGGGGCCGGGGCGCAGGCCGGCCCTGACCTGCTGAATGGTGGGGTCCCCGGCTCGGTTGGTCAGGCGGCTCAGGATGCTGCGCTCTGACATCTGGAGACGAGCAGCCACCGGGGGGATGCGGGACAACATGGAGGGCAGGCGCGTCACATCCGCCTTCATGTCGCTCAGCAGCTCCTCCAGCTGGTTCAGGACTGGGGAGGGAAGGGGAGGCGCGGGGCGCGGCACCCAGGCGGGCACTTAGCTACCAGGCTGTGTCGCTGTTACTGCACCCGCGCAGCAGACACCAGGGGGCGCCCTTCACCCGGCCCTCCCAGCCAGCCAAGCAGCGCCCCGCCGGCTGCTGGACAAGAGCCCGGTTTCCCAACAGCTTCTCCCAGCCCGAGGGCTGCAGAGATGACAGCCAGGAACCCCGACGCAACGCTGGGCTTCCCTCTGGGCCCTCAGCCAGCCTCCTGGCTCCCGGGGAGGCCTGCAGCGCTGGCCACCGCAGGGGACCGGATCCTCGCCCAAGACAGAGCAGCCTCAGGAAACTTCTCCCAGGCAGCGGCGGGGCCGCAGAGTCCAGGGACCCTCACGTGAGCTTGGCTCACCCTCTCCCCCTAACCAGCCTGGGAACTTCCTCAGGATTTGGAGCACGAGGGTCAAAGATGTGAATCCCGGGAGACCCTGAGCAACTATTTCACCTCCCCCAGCACCGACATGAAAACGGGATGAGAAACCTCACCACTTAAAGATATTACAAGAATTAAAGAAAGAACGTATTTAAAGCATATTGTCCTAAGTCGGGAGACTGGGAATGACACATACACACGACTACATAAAAAACAGATAACTAACAAGGACCTACTGTACAGCACAGGGAACTCTACTCTATACTCTATAATGACCTGTATGGAAAAAGGATCTAAAAGAGAGCGGACATGTGCATATGGATAACTGATGCACTTTGCTGTACACCTGAAACTAACACAACATTGTAAACCAACTATACTCCAATAAAAAAAAATTTTTTTTAATTTTAAAAAGGTCCTCTCCTCTTCCACTAAAATAAATAGATAAATCAATAAATAAACCATATTGTCAAGGCTCGATAAACGAGCTTGTACAACTTAATAGTCTTCTACGTCACCTACCCCCCGCCCAGGGCCTGCACGGCGCTGACCTTCCGAAAAAGGCTAGAAGAGCAAGGGCCTCGCTTTCCCCACAGGTAAGAGCAGAGGCTGGATGACAGCCTGTCCCATCTGATGTCCTGTCCCCAGCCCCACGCCCCCACTTGGGGGGCAGGAGCCGCTGGGCAGGAGCCAGGTAGGCGGGCCCCCCTCCCGGGAGCGGCCTCGCTCACCCTTGTGCAGGACGGCATTGGCAGGCTTGTTCCCGGCGAGGGACTCCTTGGACAGGTGCTGGTGGCTCTCGGCAAGGCACTCCACCTCGGCCAGGCGGGCATTGAGGGCCATGGCGGGGTGGTTGGGGTCCTGGGTCATGTTGAGGTACGCGGCCCTCCGGAGTTGCTCCTCGATGACCAGCGCCTGCTCCAGCAGCTGAGGGGGTGGGGGGAGGGGAGGGACTGAGCCCTGGCCTGGCCCCCTCCGCCAGCACCCACCCCCGCATGCCAAGGCTCTGACGGAAAGCAGGGAAGAAGGACACACCCCCTCACCGGCTGTCCACCCTCTGGGCCACCCCTTAGAGCCTGCCCCAAGCTGAGTTCTCTGCACCCATCACCCAGGGCAGGGACACTCGCCCAGTGGGGCCTGGCCCAGAGCAAGGACCCAGCACCTGTTTGTTGATGGACTAAATGACTCCCTTTCCTGGACAGTCTGGCCAGCATCCGGATATACAGGGTGGGGGGCTGCTGCTTGCTCATTTCTTTGCCCCAGACCTTCCTGTAACCTGACCTCTGGCAGCACCCCGCCCCCAGCCTCTGGCCCTGCCAAGGACTGACCTTGAACCTGCGCGCCAGGAACTTGTTCTTCATCTCCAGGTAGTTGCCCTTGTGGATCTCGGACTTGAAGGGCTCGTTGAGGATCATGTATCTCGGGTCGTTCTGGATGTCCTGCCAACGGGCATAGCCGTGCCTGGGTGGGGCACCGTTAAGGGCAAACCTGGCCATGGGGTGGGGGGCGGGAGACCAGCCTGGGGTTTGGCGCCCCGGCTTTGTGCTCTCCAAAGAGTCATTAACCTTGGCTGCAAGATAAGCACGTGGACGAGGATGACTTGACAATCAGTTGCCACTGACAGGGGCCCCCAGGAGGCCAATCGTGGCACCGAGGCTTCATCAGATAAACTCCTTCATCCCCAAAACCCAGAGGATGGAAACATCCGAGTCCTGACCCCCAGCACCTGTGGCTGTGATCCTATTTGGAAATAGGGTATTTCCAGGTGTAATCAGATTAAGAAGGGGTCATCCCGAGAGAGAGTGGGCACTAATCCAGTGACTGATGTCCTTGTAAGAGGAGGAAATTTGGACACAGGACACCCAGGTAAGGAGGCCATGTGAGTGACAACAGAGGCAGAGACTGGAATGGTGGAGCTGTAAGCCCAGGGACGCCAAGGACTGACAGCCGCCACCAGGAGCTGGGGACAGACCAGGAAGGGGCCTCCGCCAGAGCCTTCAGAGGGAACCAAGAAACACAACGCAGTTTTCTTGCCCAAAGTCCCACAGTCAGTGAGGGGCAGAGTAGGATTCAAACCCAGGCAGGCTGGCTGCAAGCATCTTAACCTCCACGACTGGGTCCACAGGCCAGATCCGGCCCACAGCCTGTTTTTGTAAATAAAGTTTTATTGGAACACGGCCACACCTGTTGGTTAACGTGCTGTGGCTACTTCTGCTACCGTGGCAGACTGGCGGAGTCCTCTGCAAAGCCTGAAATAGCCACTCCCCGGCCCCTCCCAGGACAGGTCTGCCGACCCCCGATCTACAGCTTTCCACCTCTCGTTATAATAACCAGCCCCACTCCAGGCCGTCACGAAGGCCGGCTTTGCTGGGCGGCTCCCCCCGGGGAGCTGTGTGGCCCTCTCCTCGTCTCTGGGAGGTCTGTACTCAATGTCGCCTTCTCTGACCTTCCCACATTACAGGCAACCCCCACCCACAAAGCTCCCTTTGCCCATCCTCCCTTTATCATGTTCCTTGAACCTCACTTTGCTAATTTATGCTGTTCGCCATCTACCCCCAGTAGGATGTGAGCTCCGGGTAGACTGAGATTTGGGGCTGTTTTGTTCATGGCTGCATCCTCCGTGCCTGGCACATGACAGGTGATCAGTAAAGATGGAATTGAAGAATGAATGAATGAATGAAAGCCTTCCTAAATGGTGAAGCACCCTTCAGGTGTCATCAGTGGGAGGAGGTGAGGTCTGTATCAGGTAGGAATTAGGAGCATTGGTTGTGGAGTCAGATGGAAGGGCTGTGTGTCCCTGAGCAAGTCACTTGGCCTCTCTGAGCACCCGTTTCCTCCTCTGTGTAACGGGGATCGTAGTAGTGACCCTTTGGGAAGGCTGCTGTGAGGTTGGAGTATTGAGTATAAAGGGACAAGCTCCCGTTATGATCACGGTCACTGTCATCGTCACCAGGAAAGGGTCCCTGGCACCTGGTTAGGAGCACCAGCCCCTGACTCCTCACCCCACAAGCCCCACATGCCTCCCTGAGGTCCACAGATGAACAGACCACAGTCCTGCCCAGCCCGGCTTGGCCAAGGATACGTCACGATGCCCGCCAGCAGCCAGTAGTCATGGCGCCGGTGCCAGATGTCGTAGATTTTCCCCGAGGACACAGCAGCACGTTCCTCGTTCTGCCACAGTGTGTGTAGCTCTGGGAAGCCAGCCAAGGGAAGCAGAATGAGGTGCCCCCCAGCCCCCACAGAGGTGGGCCTAGGAAAGCCTCTACCATCTCCCCACCCCGAGAGGTTCAGTGTTCCAGTGTTACTAGGAAAGGTTATACTGCGGACTTTTGTCAACCATTCACACGTTAGTATAATATAGCCATCTGCCCAGACTCCTGGAATCCACCATCAGGAAGCCTGCGACACAAACAGGCACAGCTCTCTGCCCACGGCCCCACCCCAGTACCTGTGAAGCCCCCGTCTGCAATGTTGAACATGAACTTGAACTTCCCGATCTTGTCCTCCCTCTTCCCCTCCTCATCTTCCTCTTTGTCACCATTTTGCTGTGTTTCAATGGGCTCCTTCTCCTCGGCTTTGGTGTCATCTGTGGGAGGACAGACCCACCTTCATCTATCCATCCCAAAGGCAGTGCCCAGGGGCCGCTTTCCCCCAAGCACTGGGGACCCAAAGGCAAGCGGGAATCACATCTCCCCACCCGCAAGGGGCTCACTGCCCAAAGGGATTTGAAACAGACAAGCCAGCAGCCCCCTCTCTCCATCCTGAGCAGGGAGGGCTGCTCCAAGCCTGAGTGTCCCTCCACCAAGTCAGGACCACCTGGGGACGGGGGGGGATGTGGGGGACTGTGAAAATGCAGCTTATGTTGAAGGAGGGCAGTGCCGCCTTGGGGCTCTGATCTGGGGACGACTGTTCCAGAACATTCCAGCACTTAGAAGGATACAGGCTGCCAGCTGAACCCCAAATGCTCTAGGCCAAACTCTATGATCAGCTCTCCTTCCTCCTGGCGGTGGCCGGGGCCACAGGAGGGGTCAGGAGAGAGGAGGTGGAGGGTCTGTCCCCTGAGGGGCTGTTGAGTCCAGGCTCCCACCCAGCAGCTCTCATCAGGGCCTGGGGCCAAGGGGACCAAGGGACACAGGACAGAGCACATGCAAGAGCCCCAAACCTGGCCTGAAATCACTGCCATCGCCTCTGCTGTGAGTCAAGCTCAGCTCCAACTTGTCCAGAATCTTCTCCTTCTCAGCAAGCACTTCTTCTGCAAGACAAAGTGTGTTCACAGGGTGGGTAGGGGTCCAGAAGGGCAGAGAAGACTCCGGGCTGGTGGCTTCCCAACACTGCTTCAGCCATGCACGGAATCCTCTCCATCATCTTACTCAGAAGTCCAGCAGGTGCCACCAGGGACGGCTCTCTGGGAGGCAGGGTGGGGGGCGGGAGCTCACCCCACCCGCCCATCCCAGCAGCACCCTCCCCCCAAACTTCTCAAGGCACAGTCTCCGAACCCTCCCTACCACAATGATAACCAGAGGACTCAAAGTCCTGGCAACACGTCAGGCCTTCGTTAACACAAAACCCCTCTTACAGACACCCAGAAATGTCAGGCAATATCTATCATATGATAAAAACACACGGGTGCGCTCACAAGAAGGAAAGGAAATTGCCAGGTGCCGTAAGTGAATGGAAACTCAAAGCGCGAGAAGCATATGCTGGGGGCCTGGGCAGAGGGTGACTGGACACCAGGAAGAGGCCTGGGGGCTCCAGCTGGGTCTCAACGCCAGACAGGAAGGATGAGGCTGCAAGCCCGAGAGATGCAGAGAACTGGAATTAAACCAGCGAACCAACGCCCTCCAGCTGCTGTGCTCTCTGCAAAAGAGGGAAAGTTCCATCCGCCAGCTCACGGCCAAGCTGAGGAAGCCTGGCTCCCACATGGAATCTGGGAGGCAGAAAGCCCCCAGTGAGGGTCCAAACCCAACACCAAGGCATGCAGGCCGTGGAATCTGAACTGTGCCATAAAGCCTGGGCCCAGGCCAGCCAAGTCACTAGCGAGACCACTAGGCCCTGGGCTTCATGGAAATAGAAGGGGAGACATTTCCTGCTACCCAGGAATGACATGGGTTCTCATGGATAAAACAATCTCTGATGAAGATGCACCCAAATGAAGCTCAGAAAACGATACCCACAGCCAGACAGATAAAAAAGGAAGAGAATCCATAAGAAAAGACAAATCAAAAAAAAAAAGGAAGTAGAAAAAGCCAGATAAAACTTCTAGAAATGCAACACATAATCGCTAACATTTTAGACATCTCCTTGCAGATTTCTAAGACGTCCTCATGACTTCCTGGCCTGGAGAACAAGGCTTGTACATAGTCGTCAGGACTGTGAATGTGAGGGATTCTACTCCCCTGAGAAGGTCATGCGATGAGGCACAGGTGTCTTAAAAGAGGGAGATTATCCAGGTGGGCCTGACCTCATCACACCAGCCCTTTAAAAGCAGAGTTTTCTCTGAATGGTCACAGAAAAGGATGTCAGAGATCTGAAGCCTGAGGGGGACTGGTGCACCGTTGCTGGCTTGAAGATGGAGTAAGCCCCGTGGGAAGCAACGTGGGCAGCTTCTAGGTGCTAAGAATGGCCCCCCAGCTGACAGCCAGCAAAGGAGGCCTCAGTCCTCCAGCCCCAAGGAGCTGAAGTCGGCCAACAGCAAGAATGAGCTTGGAAGCAGATTTTACCCCAAGCCTTCAGATGAGAACTCGGCTCAGCCAATGCCCTGACCTCAGTCTTGCAAGCCCCTTGGCAGGGAACCCCGCCACACCACCCCACACTTCTGACCCAGGCAACTGTGAGCCAATACACGGGTGTTGCTTCATGCTGCTAAATTAGTAATCATTTGTTTTGCAACCATAGAAAATAATACAAATGAACAGCTGTACCAAAGAAAGCAGGAACTGAAGCTAGATCTGAGGATGACTCAAAAAGCCTTGCAGAGAAACAGGAAACAAAAAAGTAAAAGATGTGAAAGACACGTCGCCTCCCTCTTTCACAAACCTTGTCCCTGCTTTTCTTCATTGCATTTGGAGTCTGTTATTGAACAAGACCTACTTGTGCTTATTGCTGATCACCTGGGTCCCCCAGTAGACTACAAATTCCATGTGAAGGCTCTGGCTTTGGTTCACTGTCTGTGTCCCCAGAGCCTAGGACAGCCCCCAACACACAGCAGGCCTTCAGTATGTATTGGTTGGGTGAATGGATGAATTGATGAGTAAGAGCAATGCCAGGAGAAAATAAACATAATGGGAGGAAAGATAACATTCAGCGAAGGAGTGACTGAGAATCTGCTGATAACCAACAGAAGACACAACACTTAGCTTTAAGAATCACAGTCAGTAAGAAAAAAAAAAAAAAAAAGAAAGAATCACAGTCAGTCATAAGCAGGATAAATAAAAATTTCATTGTTGTGAAATTGCACATGACCAAAGACGGAGTATCTTACAAATGGTCTTTCCGTGTTAGGAAAGATAGAAAAGGCAGGTTTCCTACAAAGGAGCAGCAATTACCCTGAGAGCAGCCTTCTCAGCACAATAGAAGCCAGAATACAAAAGAAATAACATCTTCAAGTGCTGAGGGAAAACCCCTATCCCACCTCGAATTCTGCTATTATTCAAGAAAAATACAATAAGGTGTAAAGGAAAAATAACACATAATGAGAGAATTTGCCATCCACAGAAATTTGCTGAAAGCACCATTGAAAGGTGTATTTTGGGAAGGAGGACACTGAACAAAGCAACGATGAACAAACAAGCAAACACAAAACTTTTAGAAAGAAGCAACAGCACATGGAAGATGAAAAGGGAGTGCGTCAGAGCTAAAGTTGCCTACAGTCCTTATAGCATTCAGGAGGTGACATGTTAAAAATTTAAGAGTACAAGATAGAATTGACTGTAAACCTTCCAAATAAGTTGACGGGAAAAGGGGAAAATAGAAAATGTGATCAATCCAAGAGATGTCAGGAGAAAAAAGGAAGAAAAGGCAAGGGTGATATAAAGCACAACATAGTAGTAGAAATTCATCCAAATACCTAGCTATTACAATAAATGTAACAAGATTAAACTTGCCAGCTAAAAGGTAGAGATTCTATGATTAGATTTAAAACAACAAATCCCACCATATACTGTTTACAAAAGATATACCTAAAACTTAATTATACAGATAGATTAAAAATTAAGAAATGGAAGAAAATACTTGCAAATCACCACATCTGATGTGGAACATGTGTTATAAAGAACTCATAACTCAATAATAAAAAGACAACCCAATTAAAAAATGGACAAAAGGGGGCTTCCCTGGTAGCGCAGTGGTTGGGAGTCCGCCTGCCGATGCAGGGGACGCGGGTTCGTGCCCCGGTCCGGGAGGATCCCACATGCCGCGGAGCGGCTGGGCCCGTGAGCCATGGCCACTGAACCTGCGCGTCCAGAGCATGTGCTCCACAACAGGAGAGGCCACAACAGTGAGAGGCCCACGTACCGCAAAAAAAAAAAAAATGGACAAAAGGATCTGAAAACACATTTCTCCAGCAAAAATGTACAAATGGCCAATAACACTTGAAAAGATACTCAACATCTTTACACAGACGGGAAATACAAATCAAAACCGCTTGAGCTATGACTCTTCACCCACTAGGATGGCTATAATCAAAAAGTGAGATAATAACAAGTGTTGGCCAGGATGTGGAGAAATTGGAAAACTATACACTGCTGGTGGGAATGTAAAGTGGTGCAGCCACTGTAGCAAACAATCTGGCAGTTCCTCAAAATATCAGAGTTACCATACAATCCAACAATTCCACTCCTATGTATATACCCAAGAGAACTGAAATCTATGTCCACACAAATACCTATATACAAATGTTCAGAGCAGCATTATTCATAACAGCCAAAAGGCAAAATAACCCAACTGATGTTGGGTTAGTCCATCAACTAATGAATGGGAAAATAAACTATGGTCTATCCACAGTGTAGAATGTTATTCAGCAAAAAGGAGCGAAGTTCCAATACATGGTACAAAACTGATGAACCTTGAAAACACTGTGCTTAGTGAAAGAAGTCACACATAAAAAGGCATATATTTTATGATTCCATTTATATGAAACGTCCAGAGCAGGCAAATCCAAAGAGACAGAAAGTAAATTAGTGATTGCCACAGGCCGTGGGGAGGAGAAAATGGGCTAACGGGCATAGGGTTTCTTTCTGGAATGATGAAAATGTTCTACAATTAATTGTGCTGATGACTCTACAACACTGTGAATATATAAAAACTACTGAATGATGTACTTTAAGTGGGTGAACTGTATGGAATGTGAATTATATCACAATAAAGTTTTTATTTATACTTATAAGTAAAACGACAGAAAAAAATACACCAAGTATGGGAATTCCCTGGTGTGGTTAGGACTCTGCGCTTCCACTGCAGGGGGCCCAGGTTCAGTACCTGGTCAGGGAACTAAGATCCCACATGCTGCACAGCATGGCCAAAAAGAAAGAAAAAAATAATAATACACCAAGTGTATATTAAACAAAAATAAGCTCAATCCAAATCAGCCTAAATGAACCTTAAAGCAAAAAGGATCAGGAGGGATAAGAAGGTTATTACATAATAAACAGAAACACTTCACCAGAAAATTATAAAAAATCTGAACCAATATGCACCTAACAACCCAATCCCAAACTATACGAAACAAAATCTGGCCTTACGAGAACAAAGAATAACCCACACTCACAGTGAGAGATTTTAACACAAGTCTCTCAGACGTGACTGATCAAAGCAAACCAAAAATAAGTAAGGATATAAAAAAATCTGAACAACATAATGATCTAATGCATATATTTAGAACCTTACACCCAGCAATGAAAGGACAAACATTCTTTTCAAGCACACATAAGCATTTACAAGATCTGACCACATTAAACCAGAAAGCAGGTTTCAACAGTATCATATAAAAACAATATTATACAGACTCATGTGTTCAGACCACAAGGCCACTGATTCAGAAATAACTAATAAAAAGATGTAGCCCGGGTTTCCCTGGTGGTGCAGTGGTTAAGAATCCGCCTGCCAATGCAGGGGACATGGGTTCGAGCCCTGGTCTGGGAAGATCCCACATGCCGCCGAGCAACAAAGCCCGTGCGCCACAACTACGGAGCCTGCACTCTAGAGCCCGCGAGCCACAAGTACTGAGCCCACGCACCACAACTACTGAAGCCCGCGCACCCTAGAGCCCATGCTCCGTAACAAGAGAAGCCACCGCAATGAGAAGCCCACGCACTGCAACGAAGAGCAGCCCCCACTCGTCACAACTAGAGAAAGCCCACACGCAGCAACGACTCAACGCAGCCAAAATTAAATAAATAAAATTAAAAAAAAAAAAAAGATGTAGCCCAATAACCCCCAAACTGTACAACAGGAAAAGTTAAAGCCCACGTGTAGAGAACTGAGCCCCTGGCTCTCCCCTCACCCTGGGACCTATGGTGCTAGGACAGAGCGATGCACAGTCCGCCACCCGGCCAGGGAGAGACGGGGTAGAGCGCGGCCTGGCTGCCCTTCTCTGGCCCAGGCCTGACACTGCATCGGGGTGGAAGCCCGCACCTTTCAGCAGCTGCTCTGGGGAGGGCTGGGCCTTCTCCATCTCCTCCGGTCGATCCTCTCGGGCCCTCTCCTTGCCATCCGAGCTCTCGTGCTTGTCCTCACCCTCCGCTCTGTCCAGGGCAGTTGGCAGGGCCTAGGGAGGACAGACTCAGGAGCTGCGGGGTCTGGAGCCTCAACAGGAGTGGAGGCAGGGAAGGCGTGCTGGGCTCGGAATGCACTCTCCCGGCTCCCACTGCGTGCTCCCAACCCGCTCCCCAGACACAGAGGCTCGAACTTGGAACCAGGGGGCCCGAGTGACAGCTGCCTGGGCGAGGCCTGAGAAGGTCCCCAGAGTCACCCCCATCCCACAGGGGCCCAGACACCTGCATCTTCCGTACCTGGATTTCTGGGGGCTTCTTTGGCTTCTGCGCCCCCAGCTCCTTCTCTTCCAAGTAGCCCAGCTGAGCTTCCATTTTGTCTGAAAGATCAAGGGAGACGGGGTGAGACAGGTGAGCTGGGGCGGGGAGGGGGAGAAGGGCAGAAAATGGGGCATCAGAGAGGATCCTGGGCCCGGCACCTGCAGAAGGACAGGTGAACCAGGTCAGCGAGAGCACCCAGGCCAGGCCTGCAACGTGAGGAGCCTTGGAGGACACTGGGCCCAGTGAGGCCAAAGCCAGGGGCCGACAGGACGGAGCTACATGCGGGGTGGGGGGTGGGGGGTGCCTCCCATCTGGAAGCCGGGAAGCAAGGTAGGTGGCGGCCCAGACTAGGAGTCAGGACGGCTGGGTGTGGCCCCAGCCTTCAGGCTGCTTGACTGGCCACGTGCCTCCCCCACGCTGAGTCAGTTCTTGATCCTGCAAAGGGCCAGTGACCCACATGCTCTGAGTAGCCCTGGGAGGTGGTCACTACCTCGCAGGGTAAGGGACTTGCCCACAGGCACACTGGGCCAGGAAGTAAACTAGGCATGTCTAGTAAACTAGAGGGCACTTGTGCCCAGAAGCAGGATGTCCTCAGAGGCACTGAGCCTGTCGGGGCCTCACCTGTCACCTGGGATAGGCAGGACGCCCCCGGCCTGAGGGGTCTGACTGAGGGAAGAAGATGCTTTGCCCAGATAAACACACGAATCACCAAAAAGGCAAATAACCCATTAAAGAAGGACAAAGGATCTGAAATGACATTTCTCCAAAGAAGACGCACAAATGGCCCAGAAGCACATGAAACGATTCTCAACATCTTCAGCCATCAAAGATGCAAATCAAAAGAGAAATGCAAATCAAAACCACAACGAGGGGCTTCCCTGGTGGCGCAGTGGTTAAGAATCCGCCTGCCAATGCAGGGGACACGGGTTCGAGCCCTGGTCCGGGAAGATCCCACATGCCGCAGAGCCACTAAGCCCGTGCGCCACAACTACTGAGCCCACGTGCCACAACTACTGAAGCCCGTGCATCTAGAGCCCGTGCTCTGCAACAAGAGAAGCCACCGCAATGGGAAGCCCGCGCACCGCAACAAACAGCAGCCCCCTCTCTTCACAACTAGAGAAAGCCCGCGCGCGGCAACGAAGACCCAAAGCAGCCAAAAATAAATAAATAATTTATTAAAAAAAAAAAACCCACAACGAAACGCCCCTTCACACCCACTAGGATGGCTGTAAGCAAAAAATCAGACAAGTGCTGGTGAGGATGTAGAGAAACTGGAACCTCACACGTGGCTGGTGGGAATGAAAAATGGTGTGATTGCTGTGAAAAAGCTTGGCAGTTCCTCAAAATGTTATACCACGTGACCCGGGGATTCCATTGCTAGCTATACGCCCAAGAAGAACGAAGACACTTGTTTTCAGTTGAACACAAAAGTTCAAAGCAATGTTACTCACGATATTATCCACAATAGCCAAAAGGTAGAAACACCCCAAAATCCATCCGCCGATGAGTGGATACACAAAATGTGGTGGATTCCAAACAATGGAACAGTATTCGGCCACAGAAAGGAATGAAGTGCTGATACCCGACAACATGGATGAACTTGGAAAATATTACGCTAGTGAAAGAAGCCGGGCACAAAAGGCCACACAGTGTATAATCTCATTTACGTGAAATGCCAGAACAGGCAAACCCGTAGAGACGGAAAGTAGATTAGTGGTTGCCGAGGAAGATACGAGGAGGAGGAATGTGGAGTCACTGCTAATGAGTATGTGTTTCTCTTTGGGATGATGAAAACATTCTGGAATTAGAGGCAATCGTTGCACAATCCTATGAATCTACCAGAAACGACCGGATAATACAGTTTTAAATAAAGATGGAACACGGTGGTGTGTGAACTACATCTCAAAGCTGTCATTAAAAGGAAGATCTCTCAGGGGAGTGACACTTCTGCAACCAGAAGCTTTGGGCGGGGTGGGAGGCCAGCCCTTGTGGGATGTGGGGAGGACGTGGGTCTCGCCACCTCCCGTGACCCAGGTGCCCTCCCCTGCTCGACAGAGCCCAGACCTGGCAGGCCCAGCGGGGCAGGCAGAAGGTGGGCAGGGCTGGCGGGCACTGGTGTGTTGGGATCCGAGGAGATGACCTCGCCTGGCTTCTTGCCCTCAGGCCCCTCAGGGAGCAAATCCGGGGTGCTGTACTTCCCATTGACGTGCTCAAACTCCTGAACCTGGGGCAGGTGGGAGGGAAGCAGGGAGGGAGATGGTCGCAGCTCAGAACCGAGGGCCTCAGGGTGGCCCGTGGGACTGGGGGCGTGCCAGGCTTGGGGTGAGGCAGAGGTGCCGCCTCCACCCGAGGCTGGCCAAGCCACATGTCCTTCTGACTGCAAAAGCCCCTGCCAGCCCCTACCCCCAGCCCGTCCCCACCTGCCAACCCGGCCTCCAGTCCCCACCCAGAGAGGCATCGTGGGTCCATGCCTCTAGTCTGACTCAGACCCTGGACAGCCAGGCACTTGCCCTCTGCCCGCTGACCCCCCAGGGGTACACCTGGGCCGTGGTCAGCCACCAGGAAAAGCCCAGCAAAGGCTACTCACCCACCTTCTTCCTAACTAGTGACATGACCCCGATGCGCGTGAGCACGTGCTGCCTGGAGAGGCCCTCGCGGGGCACGCCGTCTGCGAAGGTCTCCGCGCCGTCAGCCCCCGGCTCACACAGGTGCCGCATGAAGAGGGACACATAGGCTCTGGGGTGGGGGGGACTGGGGCTCAGGGAGTGGGGGGCCGGCAGAACCCTCTGAGAGGGCTGGCAGGACCCCCGGGGGACATCCTGGCTGGAATCATCACCCGTCGCCTGCCTCCCAACCAGGCCTGGCTGGGTCAGGCCCCAGGGAAGGACAGAAGAGGGCCCCCGGGCAGGGGACCCTCCTGGGACAGCCCTCGCCCCGGACAACCCAGATCCTTCGCGCTGCCGTTAACACCAGCTGCTCTGGCAGAGGAGACTGGTCAGCGTTCTCTGCAAATAAGCCCTGCCCAGGCCTGGACCCCAGGCACGCCAACATCAGATAGCAGTGAGCTCTCCAGATACCCTTAACCTGGCGGAAACGCCACCCATCGTGCTGGCTCACCTAGCCGGAGCCTGCCACTCCAGGGCGGGCAGCCGCACCCTGGGCCACCACCTCAGCCCCTTTACCTAAACTCCTTCTCACTCTTCCCGCGAAGGTCCCGCACCAGCCAGTGGGAGTTGAAGGCGTCCTGGGGGGGCATGCCCCAGCGCATGATGGCGTTCAAAAAGGCCTTCCGCTGTCGGGCGTTGAAGCCCAGCACCTGGGCCGGTGGAGATCAGGGTGAGGGAGCGGGGAATTCAGAGACGAGGGAGAAAAGCACAGGGAAGGGAGAAGCACGGAGGAGCAGGGGCCTCCGGCGGGGGCAGGACCCAGAGCGGCACGGCCCAGGCCCACCTCTACTTGGCACTGACCCAGCGGGACCCCCCAGCCCTCCCGCCCCTCCTCCGCGCCCGGGGAGTGGCAGCAGCGGGGAGCTCTTTGCTCTGAAAGGGGATGAGAGGAATCCAGGGAAGGGGAGCTGGGCGAGTGAGGGGTGCACGCAGGCCCCACCTCAATGTTGCCGCCAACCCGGGCGAGAAGCGGGGGCAGGGGCTTGTCCCTGTCGCTCTTCAGCTGCCTCCTGGATTGTCGCCGTCCACCTGGGGGAGCAGCCCGCCATGAGCCCTCAGCCGGGCCCGGGGTCCTGACCCAGCCCACCCAGCAGCTCGCCCCAGGACAGCAGGCCCCTGAGGACCCACTCCGGAGGACGGACGCTTGTCCTGATGCCCCTGGGGCGCCCCACGCTGACCACCAGCTCCCCGACACGCCGCCCGGGCCCCAGCCCAGCGCTGAGACTCACTCTGCCCTTCCGGCCTTTCTTCAAAGTCCTCGTCCTCATCCTCGGATCCAATGGAGTATTCGGACTGGTTGTCTGAGAGCTCGTCCTGCCACTCTGCGGGGGGGTCAGGCAGAGGGGTGCAGGGTGAGCCGTGCCAGCAGAAGCGCACCCGAGCCCCCCACACCCAGGGCCACACCAAACCCCTACACCGCAGCCCGAGAACAGTGACAACGAAAACAGCCCTCGCGTACTTCCTGTGAGCTCCCGCAGCATCCCTGCAACCCTGCACTACATCCTAAGGTCTCATATCCCCGTCGTCCCCGTTTTACAGACGGAGGAACTGAGGCTTGCCTAAAGCCACACCACTAGCCGTGAGGTCACTGAACCACTACCCATCTTGTTCCCCCAAACACCCCACACCCCACACCTGCCCGGAGCCCCCTTTCTCCGAGAAGCTCTCCCCACCGCCTCCCGACTCAGGCCACTCCACACGGCCCCTACCCCCCACCGCCAGGGCTTCCCGCCACAGCGATGCCCTCCCCTCCGGCATGACTCCGCCCACCGGGCACGCACCCTGGTCCTCCTGGGAGGCGTCGTTGTAGTTGACCTGCTTGCGGACGCGCTTGCCTTTGCCCAGGTTGCGGGCCAGGTCCTCCTGCTGCTGCTCGTAGTGGTGCCGGAGCAGCTTCTCCCAGTAGTCGGGGTCCACGTTCTCCTCCTGCTTGATGATCTCCCGCTCCACCTCCTCCTGGGGACGCAGGTGCCGTTGGCTCCGTGAGGGCGGGGCCAGCGCGCATCTCCGCCCCTAGGAGGCCTCGCTGCCTCTACCACATCTCGCCCTCTAGGGGCTCAAGGAGGAACTGGAAAGCCTGCCTACTCCAGGAAGCCTTCCCTGATCACCCCCAGCCCCATGTGTTCTTCCTCTTCCTGCTCCTGCCGCGGTAATTCATTCATTCATTCATTCACTTCCCAAGTACTCCCTGGCCTTGTGCCAGGCACTGGGGTATAGAACAGAATAAGCCCCACCCTTGTCCTCAGGAGGCCCCAGTTTCAAAAGGAAAACTGGCACGTGGAAGAATAATTAGCACCCAGGGTCCGCGTGGAGGGTGGAGGGCCCACTCAGGAGAGACCAGGGAGCCGGCCTTCAGGATAATCGGTTTCCGAGCGTAGATGGAGAAGCTGCGGTAGGGGCGCGGCGCGGCCGCAAATGGGTGGAGCCGCTGAAAGGAGGGGCGTGATCTCTGGGGGCGGGGCCGAGGGGCGGGGCTTACCACGCCGTCCTCCTCGCGCACCACGTACTGCGCCACCTTGAAGGAGCTCAGGTATTCGTTCATGTTCTGCAGCTCCGTGTCGTCCGTGGCGTCCTGGTTGCGGTCCAGTAGCTTGGAGATGGCCGCATCATCATAGTGGATCACACTGCTGTCCTCCACGTCCTTGCTGTCACCTGGGGGCAGACAGGGTGCAGAGTTGGGGGACCCCCACCAGGACAGATTCCAGACAGCGGCCCTTCCCAGTCCCCTCCAGGGGTTGCAACAGAGGAGCACGGTGATCAGACAATGTAACAGCCCACTGCCCGCCCGGCTACAGTCCACAGGCGGGGGAACCTGACAAAATGGGTTTGGGGGGCCCCCTTCCTCTCCAGGAGCAGCCATCCGGGGTACAGGTGGTCTGGGGGCTGGGCTGGGTTGGCCCCTACCTGGCGGGGTGCTGCCGTGCTTCTTCTTCGCGCTGGCGGCCAGGGCTCCCCCTTTGGAAGACTGGACATCAGGGATGGGCGTGACGGGCCTCTGGCCCTGAGACATCATGCCTGGAGGACAGAGGTGGGGGACCGCAGAGCTGGGGGGCAGCACCCAGAGATGCCACCCTGGCCCTGCCCATCCTGGCCAGGAGAGGGGAGCAGAGGAGGGAAAGGCTGCACACTGGAGATGCCCTGGGAAGGGAGTGTCTCAAGCAGACCAACCCCCCGCGCCCCGGCACCCAGGACACCCACCCTCCACGTCGTCCTTGAAGAGCTCCTCTGTGCCGAACTTGAGGATGTCGTCCAGCTCCTGCTTGGTCATGGAGCCAGACTTGGAGCCCAGGCCGGGCCGCACCACCAGGTGGGTTAGCATCATCTTGCGCTTGGCCACCTGCGTGATACGCTCCTCCACCGAGGCCCGCGTCACGAAGCGGTAGATCATCACCTTCTTGTTCTGCCCGATGCGGTGGGCGCGGCTGAAGGCCTGGGGGCGACCTGCAGCTTAGCACCCATAGCTCAACCGAGGGCTGGGGGCTCAGGGTCAGGTACCGGAGGGTGGGGGGAGGCATGCACATGGGCTCACGAACGCGCTCCACATGGAACCAGCTGCCTGCCTGCCCGTGGAGATGTGTGTGCACCAGGGCAGCTGTGCTCGCATCCTGTGTGGCCTCCTGTGGGCCTGGGTGCCTGTGCAGATGGAACTCGGTGTGACTGCAGGCGTGCAAGCGGCAGTGTGGCCAGTGTGCTTGTGTAATGACGCCACACGGGGCTCTGATGGCGCTCATGCCGAGATGGGGGCTGCACCTCCCCGGGAGTGACCACTGGTGGGACTGTAAGCCCACCACAGCCACCCTGTGAGGACAGGTTGTGATGTGAGGACATGCCTGGGGATTTGCACGCTAGGTGTCCGCGGGACGTGATCCGGGGTGATTAGATCTGTGTGGGTGATGGTGCACGGGTACACACACGTGTGCGTGAGACATGAGTTTGTGTGTGCGCCCCAAGAGGGTAAAGTGTGTGCGTGCCCGGCCCTGCCCCGAGAGGGGTGGCCATGGACAGCAGAGTTCTCTCTATTCCCACAACCCCTGTCCCCCAACCCTCCCATCCTTCCTCACCAGCTCCATTTCCCCCGCCTCCATCTCTTCCCCTCCTCACCTCCACAGGCCTTGTCCCCTCAACTCTATTTTCCTGTTCCTCCCAAACTGGCCCCCTCTGGGTCCCAGGACCCCCTCATCCTGCCCCACTCCACGGCCTGGACCCTAAGACTGATGGGACAGACCAGGGGTCATGGTCACACAGATCGCTGCGTGTTCTTGGACACATCCCCTGCCCTCCCTGGGCTGTTTCCTCTTTTGTACAATGCAGGAGCTGGAGGGGCTCACCTCCCAGGTCCCTCTTGGGGCTGGGACTCCACGAGGCGGGTCCAGGGAGAGGTAAAGCCCTGAGACAGTCTGTGGGGGGAGGGAGGGAAAGCCCACAGAGCCAGGGTCAGCGAGGGGCCCTCTGAGAGGGCTCTGGTGTCAGGGCCACACACCTGGATGTCATTGTGCGGGTTCCAGTCTGAGTCGTAGATGATGACCGTGTCCGCCGTGGCCAGGTTGATGCCCAGGCCACCTGCCCGGGTCGAGAGGAGGAAGCAGAACTGCTGGGCCCCAGGGGCTGAGGAAGAGAGGTGGGCGCCCAGCAGGGTGAGTGAGGGGCACAACCAGAGGGGTAAGGGTCGGAACAGGCGGATGGCCGACGGGAGATCGGGGCGGGGGGGGCTGGAACTGTGACCCCATCACAGGCAACAATGGCCTGAGCTATGCTCAGGGAAGCCAGAGGAGGCCTGGGGCCCCAGGCAGGTAGACAGAGCAGCCCACCTGAGCCCCATGGATCCCCCAGCTCTGAGCCCTGAGCCAACACGATGGAGCCAGAATGAGAAGGAACCGATTATCAAAGCCCGGGCGGCAAAGAAGAAACTGCAAACAGCCAGCAAATACGGGCAGAGCCGCTGAGGGTCAGGCCCCAGGGAGCCCTGGAGAACTCGGTCCTTCCCGCCCTCATGGCTCCCCTGCCCGAGATGCTGTCAGAGCAGCCATGGAACACTCAGGGTCCCAGCTCCAGGGCCCAGGCCGACGCTCTGGTCAGTGCCCACTATGGCAGGACGGCTGGTTCTCAGGCCCATCGGAGCCCTTCACTGAGTGACCGGGGACTGACCACGGCACCCACTCGAGCTGCAAACAGGTCCCCGATCCTCCTGATGCCTCCCGCTTAGACGTGTGCTGGGGCCGCGTCGAGATGCTGAAACTACTCGATGTACCTCTGACGCGAGTGGGCAACAGGAATCGCTGCTTTGGGTTTTGGAGCCGTGGGACCCCAGCCCTGTTCTGAGGGTGGGAGGCGGGAAGCCGCCACAAGCCCCAGGGAAAGAGAGCTCATCAGCACTTGCTGCAAACCTGCCACTATAGAGGCGCTGGACCACTTCCCCCTCCAGAGGTTTCCTCCACTCCAGAGCCAGCTCCTGGCCTGCCCCCCTCACCTCTCCTTCCCAGGCAAGCAAGAGAGCAGGCTGGAAGTTCGGGCCTGTGTGGCCCTGCCCTTCCCTCTGTCCTTCCTCTAAGGGAGCGCTGCTCTGCTCTGGCCCTCCCCGCAGCCCGTGTTCTGGGGACAGGCCCCATCCGTCCCTGCCTATAACCAGAGGTTTAGCTGGCGTCCGTACCAGAAGCCCACAGGTGCTGGCCAGACCCTCAGCACCGGCTTCATTTAGAAGCAGAGGGATTTTCCTCCCCTTCTGCTTTCCTCCTTGTCTGTTTCTCAGCTCTGAGCAAGTGTTATCTACTGGCTTCTTGCACCCCAGCAGGCCCCTGGCAAGTTCCACGGAATGAATCCCTTTTACCAGCTATTAGGACCTAAGGACTGGTCTGCTTTCTTCGGCCGTTTGAGGAGCAGCTACCCTGACCATGAGTTGAGTGGTCTGGCTAAGAGCCTAGCGTAGGAGGAGAGGCAGACGGGGCCCCCCAGTGAAGGCCCGGGGTGGGGTGGGGCGGGGGTACCGTTGAATCTGTCAATCGCCTCTTGCCGGAGGCCCCCGGTGATGCCACCATCAATCCGCTCATATTTGTAGCCCTCATACTCCAGGAAGTCCTCCAGGAGGTCCAGCATCTTGGTCATCTGCAGGGGACATGGTATGCCTGAGGCACTGCCGCAGAGCAGGGACCCCATGACAGGTGGGGGACGACAGAGCAGCCTGCTGAGTGGGGAGACAGGTGGGACCCAGGCAGACCTGATGCAGGGCCATTCTCTGAAGAAGAATGCAGCCTCCAACCTCAACCGCCGGAGCCACTCCATCCCCCCCCCCCAGCCCCACCCCCATCTGCCTAAGACACAGCTCTAAGCACGTGCCTCCCTGCTCTCTCCCCCCAGGATAAAGTCCCAAATCTGGGCTTCATTTCCCAATGCTTCCTTCAGACTCTCCAACCATCCCAAATTACCTAAACTCTCTTCCCACCCCCTTACCGCCTAGGAAACTCAAACAGCACCTCCTCTGTGATGTCTTCCCTGATTTCACCCTTTCCTATGAGAAGAGAAAAGCAGTCCCTTCTGAGCTCCCATATTCCTGCCATAATCAATCTTGAGAGAGAGTTTGGCTGGATATAAAATTATCAGTCACCATTTTCCCGCAGTGTACTGAAGGTTTTGCAGTTGTCTTCTGCCACCTATTGTTGCTGATGTGAAATCTGAGGACAGTCTGATTGTCATCCCTTTGTAGATACTAGGTCTGAAGTGTGGCATTTTCCCTATGATGTGCCTAGGGCTTCCTTTCTTTATACAGTAAGTCCCCTACATACGAACCTTCAAGTTGTGAACCTTCAAAGATGCAAACGTGCATTCGCGTGTCCAATCACATAAGTTAGTGCGTGTCTGGAGTACACTGTTACACGCATGCATCCTCTACAAGCGGTTGTGCTTTTGTGTACTTTACTGTACAGTACTGTATAGAGTACAGTAGTACAGTATCTTTATTTCAAGCCCAGGATGTCTGGAAGCAAGCGTAAAAGCGGCGGTGATGGGGCTTCCCTGGTGGCGCAGTGGTTGACAGTCCGCCTGCCGATGCAGGGGACACGGGTTCGTGCCCCGGTCCAGGAAGATCCCACATGCCGCGGAGCGGCTGGGCCTGTGAGCCATGGCCGCTGAGCCTGCGCGTCCGGAGCCTGTGCTCCGCAACGGGAGAGGCCACAGCAGTGAGAGGCCCGCGTACCGCAAAAAAAAAAAAAAAAAAAAGCGGCGGTGATGTAGCTGGTACTATTGTACTTTTCAAGGTGCTATACTATAAGATTAAAAATGTTTTCTTTATTTTTTGTTTGTTTTTTATGTGTTATTTGTGTGAAAAGTCTTAAAAACCTGTTACAGTACAGTACTATATAGCCGATTGTGTTAGTTGGGTACCTAGGCTAACTTTGTTGGACTTACGAACAAATTGGACTTAACGAACGCGCGCTCTCCGAATGCAACTCGTTCACATGTAGGGGACTTACTGTATTTATCTTGCTTGGTACTCAGACCTGAGACCTCACATCTTTCTCCACGTCTGTCTGCAAACTCCCATTAAGTCTGACTTCTCTGCCATTTTCTCTATTTCTTCTTCTGCAGCTCCTAGTGCATAATTACCAGAGCCTCTCAAGGCATCCTCCATGTAATTTCTCAGTCTTATCTTTGCCTCTCTCTGCTGCATTCTGGGGAAATTCCTCAACGCCAGTTTCCCATCCATCCCCATTCTCTTCAACAGTGTTGAGAGTTCATCCAGTCTGTTGAAATGTTTTGTTCTCCCTCTCATGCAGATCCTTTTCCTATCCAGTTAGTTTTATTTTATCTCTTGCTGCCTGTGTTTAATCGATTTCTTCGCGATTTATGAGTGTTGCTCTGGTATCTTTGAGGTTCCTAAACGTGTTTATTTGAACTTTTTCAGGCTGTTCTATTATTCCTCCCACTTGGGTTCTGCTTACTGTTTTGTGGGGCGTCTCATTCAATGTCTCATTGAACGTTTTCATGAGTTTTGTGATTGGGGTTTTCAGGCTTACTTTGGCTGGCAGGGCTCCATCTCTGTCACTTTCTCTCTGTGCCCACTTCTAGAAGTTGTGCAGTTCCCTCTACTTGGTCCCTTGGGGCCTCAGCCCAGAATCATGTCTTACGTTGGCAGGGGCTGGGGGATTCTGGATCCAGTTTCCAGGTCAGCCCACAGTCACAGCTTGGTCAGCTTTCCCCAGATTCCTCGGCCTGCTGCAGGCCCAGGGTGGGATCAGGGGCTTGCAGGCAGGAGCAGCTGTTACACGTGGACTGTTGCACACGGAGGAGCCACATCCTAGTCTCTGGCTCAGTCACACCACCATGGAACATTTTTCACACCAGGCCCCTAGGGCCATCCCTGACCCCCATCACAGAGATGACCTTGGGTCTGGATAACTGTCTCTAACCTCCATCTCCCACACTAGACTATGAGGGTCTTGAGGACAAGAGCTGGACCCCCATGCCTAGCACAGAGCCGCACGTAAGACAGATGCAAAAGGATGAAGGAAGTGCACAGACAAACAAACCTCTGGGGCTGGACAGCTTTGCCTCTGACCGCCCAAAAAGTGATGCCGCAGGATCAAGCTAGAAAGAGGGACACACACACCCCCGCCAAGCTGCCCCCACCACAGGGCCCCACCTTCATGAGAAGCTGGGCTGCACGCGTGAGAGGAGAGGACTGTCATCCCAGCCTAGACAAACGCTCCAGGAGGAGCAGGCCAGAGGAGCAGCTGATGGGGTGGACGTTGGTCCTCCCCACCAACATGCCCTGAGCACCTTGAACTTGGCGCCCAACCAGCTCTCCTCACACCAGGGCCCAGAGGAGCGACTTTTGACACACAACCCACGTGGGGATGGCATCGGGACCTGAGGGCTGCTGGCAGGCTGTGCCCTCAGCTAGTGGGGGCAGGACGCCCTCTGCAGGTGTGGGGTTGGGCTAGGGAAGGCAGGGAGGCCAGCAGCCACCTGGGGGCAGCTCACCTGGGAGAAGATAAGTACACGGTGCCCTTCGTCCCGAAGTTTCTTGAGCATCTTCTGCAGCAACATGAGCTTCCCTGAAGACTTGACCAGAGAGCTGCCATCATAGGAGCCATTGGGCAGGACAGGGGCCTCCTGTGGACACAGCAGAAGGTGGGGCATTGGGGGCTCCCCTCTCCTCTCTGACTCTGCACCAGAGGCCCCAGAGAGTGGACAAGGGCCCAACAGTGGGTGGAGCACCGAGCCCAAGCCCGGGTCAGGCCAGGTTCTGCAGGGCGCATGGGCAGGTCACACGGCTGCTCCCAGCGTCACGTTCCCCAGGCAGGGCTCAGACTCGCTGGCCCTGCCCTCCATCTCCCCCTGCTGGCACTCCACCAAGACCACAGGCATCAGTGGACGAAGGATGACACAGAGCCCTGAGCCAAGCCGGCCTTCCCAGCAGGGATGTGCAGGGCACGTCCAGGCAAGGCCAACCCGGCCCCCCAGCTGGGAAGAACCTTAGCCCAAAGGCCTCTGCTGGGCCACCATGGTGAGATCAGACTGGGGTTGGTTGAGTCTAGGTCACCCACAGCACGGCCTCCACGCCGAACTCTGCATTGGTCTTCTTGTTTGGGGGCAGGGATGGGGGAGGGGGAAGGTGTAAACCATGGAGCGTTTAAATTAGAACCAGAATAGCCGTGACCGCGGTGAGCACCGCTGTGCCGAGCTCTCGCCGAGGGTACTGACGTGGACGTTCTGGTCTGGCCCTCACCCTTTCAGGGGGTGCTGTTATTGTCCCCACTTCGTAGAGGATAAACCTGGGGCCCCAAGAGGACCACTGACTGTCCTGAGACCACAGGACTGGAGCCGGGGGTCTGGCTGGGGGTCCAGTCTCTCACCCAGAGCAGCACATCAGATCACCTGGGGTCCCCACCCAGGCCTCCCCGACTGCCAGGTCAGCCCTCGGAATCCTGGCCTGCGGTCCCCTGACGCTGAGGCTGGCGGGGATTCTGTGGTGCCCCGATGCCCCCCATTACTTTATGGTCACGAGCAGGGGTCCAGGGAAGGAGAGGGCCTGGCTGGGCAGTGGACAGAGGTAGGTTTCCAGATACTTCTGGCACAGTGGGGACCCATATCGCCTCCAAATCCTCATTCCCAGCAGCCAGGGGCACCACGGCGGCCACAGCTGCTTGCCACAAGGGCCACAGAAAACCCACCACGACACGGCCACATGCACCTACCACGGCCTCAGGCCCTTCCATGGCAGCCTCAGGCACTCACCATGGTGGTCAAGGGCACCTACCACGGTGGCCACAGTGGCAGCCACGGGGACCTACCACAGCGGCCACTGGGAAGAGGTAAGGGTGGTTGCAACACTTCTTCAGGTCCATCATGATGTTGAGCAGTGACACCTGGTTCCCACCCCCCTTGGAGTTCAGCGCCTCGAAGTTCCGCGTGAGGATGAACTTGTAGTACTTCCTGCCAGAGGAAGGAGGAAAGGCAAGCTGGATACACCTGGCCACACCAGCCTCCGAGAGGGCACTCTGCTCTGCGGGGAGCCTGGGGGCTGCTGCCCTAGTACCAGTTACAGAAAGACCACGGGGAGCCCCGAGAGGTGAAGCCACAGGCCTGGCGCTGCCCAGCAAGTTGCTGGGGGACAGTGCAAGGGCCCAGGCAGCCCCAACCCTGGTCACTGAAATCTAAGAGGCCCCAAGAAGGAAGTATGTGCAAAAGGTTGAGTTGAGGCCTGGGCGGGGCCGAAAGGCCCTCCCACCCACCCGGGGCAGCAGCCCAGGAAGGCCAGGTCAGGCCCTTCTGATCTAGAAGACAAGCCCAGGGGACACGGGGCAGGCTGCTCACTTCTGCATCTGGCTCAGTTCCACGCGGACGATCAGCTCGGTCTTGGCCGGCATGTTCTTGAACACATCAGCCTTGAGCCGCCTTAGCATGTGCGGCCCCAGCAGGTCATGCAGCTTCTTGATCTGGTCTTCCTTGGAGATGTCGGCAAACTCCTCCAGGAAGCCCTCCAGGTTGCTGCAAGAAAAAGCTGGGATGAGAGCCTGCAGCAGGCCAAAGCCCTCTGCAAAGGGAACCAGGATTGGGGTGGGGGAGCGGGCCAGCCAGCCCGCCCCCGGCCACCTGCCAGAGGGTCACAGGGCAGGCCTGTCACAGGGCAGGCTGGCTGGTGGGCCACGGAGCCCTGGCCCTGCCCTAGGTGTCCTTCCAGTCTCTGTCTAAGCCTGTGTCACCCCCACCCATCGCAGCTGTCTCAGCCACACAGGATGCCTTCCTGTCCTCAAAGCTGTCCCGGACATGCAGTCTCTAGGACTCTTAGCCATATCGCAGATAAGGAACCTGAGGCTGATGGGTGCCCAAGGTTATACACTCCAGCCTGCCCTCAAATATACATCTCCTGATTCCAGAATCAGCATTCTCCACCCTGAATCCCCTGAGTAGGAAACTGAGGGGTCAGATGAAGACAGGAAGGCCGGAGCTCTGTCTTCACCCCCATCTCCACCACCACCACCCCAGCCTTCTGCCTCCCATCGCTGCCCCCCATGTGGTCACTTCAATCTTTGTGGAGGGATAGGAATGGGCCAGGGGTGTGGGGAAGGGACAGGATCCCAGGAGGACCCCCAGGGTCTTCAGGGGCAGAGCTGAGGAAAAATGGCAGGATTAGCAGCAGCAGATGTTTCCCAGGGGCTCGGCACGGCCCAGCACACAGCTAACGCTCCCACGTTACCGACAAGGAAACCGAGGTCCAGCGAGCAGCCCCAGAGCCGGGACGGGCACTGACCCCTCTTCGCTGGCTGCCCCCCGCCCCAGCTCCCCAGCCGGCCCCCCCGACTCACTTGAACCTCTCTGGAGTCAGGAAATTGAGCAGGTGGAAGAGCTCCTCCAGGTTGTTCTGAAGGGGGGTCCCCGTCAGCAGCAGCTTGTAATCGATCTTGTAGCTGTTCAGGACCCTGAAGAACTTGGGGAGGGGGGACAGGGGGCCTGTCAGGGGGCACCAGGCGGCCGGCCCATCCAGGGAGCACCGGGGCCAGCGGTCAGCACTTCCTACCTTGGACTGGTTGTTCTTGAGCCGGTGGGCCTCATCCACCACGAGGCAGGCCCACTCAATGGAGCCCAGGATGGCCTGGTCGATGGTGATGAGCTCGTAGGAGGTGAGCAGGACATGGAATTTGATCTGCACTTCTTTCTGGAGGGAGAGGGAGGCGTTTGGGAGGAAAGCTGGGAGAGCAGCAGATCAGGGTCTCCAGAGACGAAGGGGCAAGGAGGAGTGTGGACAGGACCCCCAGAGAGCCCAGGGAGCCCTGGGACTGAGAGGAAGACACAGGCCACTGAGCAAAGGGGTCAGCTGAGGCCCAGGAAGGGCTGAGAGAGGCAGAGGGGAGCCTGTAGGTGGCACCTGGGTGTGCACCAGCCCTGCTCTTTTGGGTTAGACCTTGGTCAAGGTAATTAACCTCCCCAAGCCTCAGTCGCCTCACCTGTAAAAAGGGAGCAATACTGTCTACAGGAGGAATGCCACAAGAATTAAAAGGGCAAGTCTGTTCCTCAAAAAATTACACATATTACGGAGAACTGTATGGAGATTGCTTAAAAAAACTATAAAAATAGGGCTTCCCTGGTGGCGCAGGGGTTGGGAGTCCGCCTGCCGATGCAGGGGACGCAGGTTCGTGCCCCGGTCCGGGAGGATCCCATATGCCGCGGAGCGGCTGGGCCCGTGAGCCACGGTCGCTAAGCCTGCACAGCCGGAGCCTGTGCTCCACAATGGGAGAGGCCACAACAGTGAGAGGCCTGCGTACCGCAAAAAAAAAAAAAAAACTATAAAAATAGAGCTACCATATGATCCAGCAATCCCACTCCTGGGCATATATCCAAAGAAAAGCATAACTCGAAAAGACACATGCACCCCAGTGTTCACTGCAGCACTATTTACAAGAGCCAAGACATGGAAACAATGTAAGTTTCCATCAACAGGGGAATGGATAAAGAAGATGTGGTACATACATACAATGGAATATTACTCAGCCATAAAAAAGAATGAAACAATGCCATTCACAGCAACATGGATGGATCTAGAAATTGTCATACTGAGTGAAGTAAGTCAGACAAAGACAAATATCATATGATATCGCTTATATGTGGAATCTAAAAAAATGGTACAAATGAATCTTTTTTACAAGAGAGAAACAGAGTCACAGATGTAGAAAACAGACTTATGGTTATGGGGAAAAACAGGGGGAGGGATAAATTGGGAGACTGGGACTGACATATACACACTACTATATATGAAATAGATAACTAATAAGGACCTACTGTATAGCACAGGGAACTCTACTCAATACTCTGTAATGACCTATATGGGAAAAGAATCTAAAAAAGAGTGGATATATGTATATGGATAACCGAGTCACTTTGCTGTACACCTGAAACGAAGACAACATTGTAAATCAACTATACACCAATAAAATTTTTTAAAAATAATATAAAAACAAACAAAATTACACATAGAATTGCCATGCGATCCAGCATTTCCAATTCTGGTTATAGACTCAGAAGAAGTGAAAGCAGGGACTTGAATGAATATTTCTGCACACCTATGTTCATAGCATTATTCACAAGAACCAAAAGGTAGAAACACTCAAGTATCCACAGGCAGATGAATGGATAAACAGAAGGTGGTCTATCACACGATGGAATGTCATCCAGTCTTAAAAAGGAAAGAAATCCTGACACATGCTACAACGTGCTGAGTGAAATGAGCCAGACACAGAAGGACGAATACTGTATGATTCCACTTACATGAAGTACCAAGAATAATCAAATTCAGAGACCAAAAGTAGGAGGTTGCCGGGGGCTGGTGGAAGCTAGTGTTTAATGGGGACAGAGTTTCAGTTTTACAAGATGAGGAGCTCTGGAGAGGGGGGTGATGGCTGCACAGCAGTATAAATGTCCTTGATGTCCACGAACCGTACTTGTAAAAATGGTGAAGATGATACACTCTAAGTTATGTGTATTTTCCTACAGTTTTAAAAAATAAAGTAAATTGAAAAGCTGAGGGCTTCCCTGGTGGCACAGTGGTTGAGAATCTGCCTGCTAATGCAGGGAACACGGGTTCGAGCCCTGGTCTGGGAGGATCCCACATGCCGCGGAGCAACTAGGCCCATGAGCCACAACTACTGAGCCCGTGCGTCTGGAGCCTGTGCTCCGCAACAAGAGAGGCCGCGATAGTGAGAGGCCTGCGCACCGCGATGAAGAGAGGCCCCCCCTTGCCACAACTAGAGAAAGCCCTCGCACAGAAACAAAGACCCAACGCAGCAAAAATAAATAAATTAATAAACTCCTACCCCCAACATCTTCTTTAAAAAAAAAAAAAAAAAAAAAGCTGAGTCAGCAAAGCACCCAGCCCATCGCAGGACCCCAGGGTGAGCTCAGAAGTTGTTTCTGTGACTGATAGGCCCACAGGCCCATCCCTCTGGAATCACTGAGTCATTCCCTCACTCAACAAATAGTTACTGAGAATTGCCTGGCGGTTCAGTAGTTAGGACTCAGCGCTTTCACTGCCATAGCCCGGGGTTCAATCTCTGGCCGGGGAACTAAGATTCCCACAAGCCGCGCGGCACAGCCAAAAAAAAACAAACCCACACAAATAGTTACTGAGCATCTCCTGGGGCCACGACCATCCCCAGACGAGGGAGAAAGCCGAGGTGAGGAACCCTGGGGAGGCTGGAGGTGATCCGCCAGCCCCCAGCACTGCAGGTAGCACGTGAGAGCGCCAAGACTGCCTGAGTGCCCCCGCGTGCCAGGCGCGGGAAGTACTGAGTGCTTTGTGTCCTGATTCTCGGAGTGCAGCCTGAGAATCAAAAGCATGCACATCATCTGGGACTCTGTCAGGCCCCACCCCAGAGCTGCGGGATCAGAACCTGCCCTTCAACAAGGCCCCTGCTGACCCGGGGGCACAGGGAAGTCTGAGCGGCCCTGCCTAATGCTTATTCATTCGACCCTCCACAACTCTAGACTGGGTCTGTTATCTCCATTTTGCTGAGAAGATTCTGAAGCACAGAGAGGCTAAGTGACTTGCCAGAGGTCACACAGCTGGTGGACTGGGTTGAATCGTGTCCCCTCAAGATCCATGTCCACCCAAAACCTCAGAATATGACTTTTGGAGCTCGGGTGTTTGCAGGTGTCATTAGTTAAAATGAGGTCATCCTGGATTAGGGTGGTGTCTTTATAAGAAGAAGAGACACAGACACACAGGGGAGACGGCCGCATGACAACAGAGGCAGAAACCCAAGTGATTCAGCTGCAAACCAAGGACTGCCAAGGAACGCCTGCCGCCACCAGATGCTGGAAGAGGCGCGGAAGGGTCCTCCCCCAGAGCTTCAGGGGCAGCAGGACCCCGCCGACAGCTGGATCTCGGACTCCTGGCCTCCAGAACGGCGAGAGGATACATTCTGTTGCTGTTTTCAGCCCCACCGCCACCCTGTTTATGGTTCTTTGCCCCAGGACATGGATACAGCAGGTAACTCTGCCTCAAGAGAAGCTCCGTGCCAGCTACTACCTACCTCCACCAGTGACCAAGAGAAGAGACCCCAGACGGACTGCAGGGCCCCTGCGGCCCCCAGGGCAGACTGGGCACCTGTGCAGGGTCCCCGGGGTCAGGAGTGCTCACCTTCATCCGGAACACCTTCTTCCCACTCCGAATGGCATTGTCCTCAAACGAAAACTCGTTCTCCCGGATCACAGAGCGGCTCTCCTTGTCCCCCGTGTAGGTGACCACGTAGAAGTCGGGCGCCCACATCTCAAACTCACGTTCCCAGTTGATGATGGTGGACAGGGGCGCACTGACCAGGTAGGGCCCCTTGGAGTGGCCCTGGGGAGGGAGACAGACGCGCTGAGGCTGCCAGCCCACAGCCAGCACCGGCTACCCCTCCCCAGCCGCCCAGCCTGGGCCTCAAACCTCCTTGTACAGGGAGTAGAGGAAGACGATGGTCTGCACTGTCTTGCCCAGACCCATCTCATCGGCCAGGATGGTGTCGGTGCCCTGGGCCCAGGAAAAGCGCAGCCAGTTAAGGCCCTCCAGCTGGTACGGGTGCAGTGTGCCGCCCGTGGAGTCGATGTACCACGGCTGCTTGTCAAACTTGACCGTGGGCTGCAAGGAGGCAGAGGTTCAGACGTACGCTGGATCCTGGGCCACCAGGGCCCAGCCCCCAGGCCTTTGCACACGCAGTTCCTTATGACTGGGGTACTCTTCCCACTCCTCTCATCCCTGCTAACTTATTCATCCTTCAGGTCACAGCTGGAATGCTTCTTCCTCCAGGAAGTCCTCCCTGACTCCTGGCCCGGCTTAGGTGTTCCCACCACGTCCTCCCTTGTCGACCCTATACTTCTCCTATCAGGGCAGTTTACCAAGTGTTGGATTCTCTGACTTTAAGCCCAGCTTGTGGTCACCATATTGGTGACCTGCTCCTCTGAGTCCCATACAGTGACCAGGACACAGTGAGCACTTAGGCAACATTTGTTGGATGCATGCCCAGGATGCCTGATCCCGAACATCACCTCTTTTATCCTGCAGCTCGGGGCCACCTCCCCCATGAAGTCCTCCTGATGTATCAGACCCATTCACCTTTCCCTGGCATCCCACAGTCTCAAGCCGATCTCCCACTTCTGTGTGTACGCGCCACGGGCCCTTGGAAGATGAGCACTTCGTGAAACAGGGGGCAGGGCCTTGTTCCCCCAGGGCCAGCCCAGGGCTAGGTGCTAGCAGACACCCAGAGAAGTTTGCTAAATGAATAACAGTCAACCTTCCACTCCCCGATGGGCTCAAAGCTCCGGGGCAAGTTGTGGGTCTCTGCCCCTGAACAGATAAGAATGGTGTGTAATTAGCAAATCAGCAATTATGTTCCTGAAGTAGGAAACACACTTTTTGATTTAAGTGCTTGGAATTAGCTCAACTAAAGGAATGCAATTTCGTGAGCTGCGCTGAGTAGAGACTATCTGCTCCACAGTCTGTGCACTGGTGACCCATCCTTCAAATCGCTCTGTCCCCCAGGAGCTGCCGCTCTGCATGAGGCTGGGGGACCCAGACCCCAGGGTGTGAGCCCTCCTCTGCGGGGAAGGGCTGGGTCCTGTCACCCTTGTCCCTGACTGAGCCGTAGAGCCCCCTCCTGCACAGGTGCGGCTCCGTGTGCATAGACCCGCAGTACGAGTTCTCCGGAGACGTCCGGAGACCATACCCTCCGCCACGGCCAAGCCTCGGTGGAGGCCCTGGCAACCCCACCCCAGAGCCCCTCCCCGCTCACATCCACAATGGGCGTGTCCGGGGGCTTCTCCTGTTTGTCGTCCTTCAGCTTCTTGCCCTTCTTGACCAGCCTCTTGGGCAGCCTGGCGTCCTCCCCCAGCATCAATTCCCTGGGAAAGAGCACAGGATGATGAGAGCAGAGCTCAGGCTGGTGGGGGGTGGGAGGCCCCGCCCAGGGGCCCCACCGTGGCCCACCTGTGGCCCCAGTAGGCCTGCTTCAGGTTGTCGTAGTAGGGGATGTCAATGTCATCAATCTCCCAGGTGCACTGGTCGTAGGGCAGGTCTTTCCACTTGATCAGGTAATGCACATCCCCCTTTTTGTCGAAGCTGCAACATGGTAAACAGATGGAGGAGGGCGGGTCACCCAGGCAAGAGTCCACGGAGGGCACCTCACAGGATGCAAAGCCTCTCACCCCCGCGGTCCCCTGGGAGCCCCAGCCAGGAGGGCGGCACCAGGCAGGGACTCCAGAGAGGTCAGACAGCTTGGCCAAGGCCACACAGCTAGTGAGAGGGAGGGAGGAGGGAACGGGTTGAGTGGCAGAGCAGAGGGACATCTGGGAGGCCACGCTAATGGGGGAGCACAGAACCAGCATCCACTCCATCCTCGGTGGCTGTGAATCCCATTCAGTCATGAGGATTCCCCCGGAATTCTCAATTACTGAGTCAGATGGTTCTCCCCTGACCACAGACCTTCGTTTTCTCGCTTAAAAACTCCCAAAGAGGGGGCTTCCTTGGTGGCGCAGTGTTTGAGAGTCCGCCTGCCAATGCAGGGGACACGGGTTCGTGCCTCGGTCCGGGAAGATCCCACATGCCGCGGAGCAGCTGGGCCCGTGAGCCATGGCCGCTGAGCCTGCGCATCCGGAGGCTGTGTTCCGCAACGGGAGAGGCCACAACGGTGAGAGGCCCACGTACGGCAAAAAAAAAAAAAAAAAAAAAACTCCCAAAGAGGGACTTCCCTGGCGGTCCAGTGGTTAAGACTCCGAGCTTCCACTGCAGGGGGCACGGGTTTCATCCCTGGTCGGGGAACTAAGATCCCGCATGCCGCACGGAGTGGCCAAAAAAAAAAAAAAAACCTCCCAAGGACTGGAGGGGTGCCCATCCCGGTCTGGGGCCAATCCCTGCAAAGTAGAGACGAATGTAATTCTTGCAGGTGGGATGCCCTCTCCCAAAGACCCCCGCGGACACGGACCTGATGCCCCAGCCAGCAGCCCAGAGGGGTTGCTGCAGAGAAGCACCTTGCACTGCAGCTTGAATGTGGCTCCTGGGAGGGGCCTGGGGCCTCCCACCCAACCTGAGTGCACTGGGCAACCGAGCCAGGGCAGCGCTGCAGGGCCAGGGGTGCCACGGCTAGCCTGGGGGCCATGGACAGAAAGACCGATCCCCAGTCACTGTGGAAACCGATGGATTTTTTTTTTTCAATAAATGATTGGTTATTACTCAGACTCCATTCAGGTAATACATTTGGAGGAAATTCACCTACCCCGCTTTGAAGGCAGGGAGAAAACTTGCCACTTTTGTTTTGAACATGCAATTTAACAAAGGTAAAAAAATTGTGGATCAGTTCAACGGAGGGGGGGGCTCAGGTCACATGAGGGCTGGGGATGGGAGGATGAGGCATTTCATAGTCGAGGGAGTACTTTTTCAAATTCCCCTGGCCCATCTTCCTGACGGCCACGCTAGCAGGCGCTGGCACACTCCTTGAACCCCCGCAGCAGCCCTGTGGGGTGGGTACTCTCATTATCCCATTTCACGTGAGAAACACAGAAGCACAGAGCCCGGAAAATGGGAGCCAGGGCTGAAATCCAACTGACAGGATCAGGTTCTTAAACTCTGCTCTACCCAACTCCTGCCTTCGGGACGCCTGTGGTCTGCTGGATCCCAAGTCCCCCCGAGGCAGAGCCTCCGTGGGCCCCACCCTGAGCCCACCTGTCAGCCACCGCCGGTTCTCAAGCGCCTGAGCTCAAGAATGAGCAAGAGGGGCTTCCCTGGTGGCTCAGTGGTTAAGAATCTGCCTGCCAACGCAGGGGACACAGGTTCGAGCCCTGGTCCGGGAAGATCCCACATGCCACGGAGCAACTAAGCCCGTGCGCCACAACTACTGAGCCTGTGAGTCACAACTACTGAAGCCCGCGCACCTAGAGCCCATGCTCTACAACAAGAGAAGTGGCAGAGCAGAGGGAGATGGGAGGCCACGCACCACAACGAAGAGCAGTCCCTGCTCACGGCAACTAGAGAAAGCCCACACGCAACAACAAAGACCCCATGCAGCCAAAAATAAATAAAATTAATTAACTAATTAAAAAAAAAGAATGAGCAAAACCTCCCACCTCCCCACCAAACCAAAGCCACTCTTGCAGTCCGGGGCCCCCCTGCCTTGGTGTCTGCGTCTGGTCTCTGCAGCCTCTGACCACCATCACCTGGGCAATTTCACACTGCTCAACAAAGAGCTGTTGCAGGGGCACTGGGGTTTGGAACAATGGCTAAGAAAGCAAGTCCTGCCCTCAGAAAAGCACTGGGTTCAAATCCCAGCACCCCTGCCTCTTGCCTGTGTGACTCTGGGCAAGTGACTTAACCGTGCTGGCATCCATAAACACGAAGGCGGAAATAAAACACCTACCTCTTGATAGATGGCACTCGGTGGTGTCAGCTGTGTTATAAAGGAGCAGCAAGCATGTACTCACTCCACAGCTCAGGCCCACCCGGGTCCCCAGGACCTTCCGGCAGGTATCAAGCACTGATGCCAGGAGCACAAGGGTCCCGACCCCCCAAGTGTCCCATCTACAGCTTCCACTGGCCGTTCGTCAAGTTGCCTCTTTAGACATATGACTTAGGAACTGCTCTACCATGAGAGTGACACGCATGCACATGCAAGTTTACACACGTGTGCATCCACGTACCCAGGTGCACGAAGACCCCTCCAGCTGGACAGTCACATCACCGACAGTGGGGCCCCTTCCGCCACCACAGCCACGCGTGGTCCTGAGCCCAGTTAACAGGTGTCCCAGACCTGCAGGCACCCACCTCAGCGAGGCGCAGGGCCCCACCCGCCGAGCACACACCTGTGGTTCAGGATGCGGTGGACCATCATCCACTCGGGCTTGATGCCGTAGCGGTAGAAGCGCTCCTCCATCTTGGCATAGAGGGGGTCTTTGTTCTTCCTTTTCTCGCTCTTGCCATCCTCATCGCCAGAGCCATAGTCAAAGGGCGGTGGCTCATCCATGTCGTTCTTTCTTTGGTAGTTGCGATACATCACCGTGTGGTAGAGCTCCAGCTGCTCGCAGAGGGGGCAGAGGTTACAGGAGGGAGATGGGCCGTGAACCCCCCCATGTCCCCCAACCCAGCTCCCCCAGCCCCCAGCCTGGGTCCCAAGCAAGCCAATCCTCACCTTCCGCCTCCCCGTCCCCAACTCCCAGCAATGCCCCTCACTCGGGGAGCTGGTCAGGGCGTTTAGGTCCTGAGCACAGCCACACCTGCCCAGGTGCCTCACCTGCAGCTCCTTCACCCAGGAGCAGTGCCAGTAGGAGAGCCCAGCCCACTTGACAAAAAACTCTCTCTCCGGGATGCCCTCTAGGGGCTTGGGTGGTGGAACGCCAGGCTCTACGTCGGAGCCCGGCAGCCCCACCATGAAGGGGGCTGGGGGCTCTGTCCACCTCCAATGCAGGATCCGCTGGACTTTGCCCTTCAGCGGGGGACACTGTGGACAGAGGAGGGTCCCCAAGTTCAGGGCTTAGCTGCAGGGCCCCACCCCGAGGCTCCCTCCAACAAGCTGTACTACTCCAAGTCAGACAGCACCACAGCGACTCCAAGACACCACTCTGTCCTCAGGAGACCACCCATGCCGTGCACGCTGATGAGGCGATACGGGTCTGCACACACACACGTGCACACACACATACACACGCATAACGGAAGCCCATATGCACACAGGTAACCGAGGGCTGGCACGGCACAGCCCAGGATCCACAGGGTGGGGGACCCAGCACTAGGGGTGGGCTGGGGACAACTCGGAGCATGGTGGCCTTCAAATGCCTACAGTGAATGGGGGGGGAGGGGCGGGTGCTCTCCTCTCCCCGCAGAAACTGAGGCCCCAGCCCCAAAGGCCTCCTACCCTCTCGCCACCCCCAGCCCTGTGACAAGAACCAGGTCCAGTCTGAGTCTGAGTGGACAGTTCAGCCTTGTGTGGCCTTGGGCAAGTCACTTTACCTCCCTGAGCCTCAGTTTTCTCATCTAAAAATGGGAATAACGAAAGGCCTGGTACTGGAAAACTCAGTAGGTGTTAGAGGGATGCCCAGTAAACGGTGGCTGTGGTGGGCGGTGGTGGGATTATCACCACCGCTTTTCTCTTCTCATAGCGGCTGTTTCCAGAAAGTGTGAAGGGGATTGCAAGCAGAGCAGGCCAGGGTGAGGCGGTGGCCGGGACTCGGGGCACATGGGAGGGGGCCTGGGACTGAGCCCCGACGGGGCGGTGGCGGCGGGGGTTGGGTGGGTACTCGTGGGGCGTGTCCTGGACGGGAAGGGGCGGGTTAAAGGTCTTGGTAGGCGGAGAGCCAGCCGGGGCCTTCGTAGGTGAGGCCTGGAGCAGCATGGGCGATGGGCGTGGTGGGCGTGGCCTGGGCCGGGGGAGGCGGGGCTTTGGTGGACAGGGCCTGCTGGGGTGGGGCCTCGGTGGGTGGGACCTTTGTGCGCAGGTCCTTGCCGGGGGAGGGGCCTGGTCGTGATGGGCGGGGCCTTGCCGGGGGGCGGGGCGTTCGGCGCGGGCCGGCGTAACACTCACAGTACAGCGCGGGCAGAGCCATTCACCGTTTGGGATCTCGGGCAGCGGCGGGTTGAGGCAGTGCAGGTGGTAGGAGGAGGGGCAGGCGTCGCAGCAGAGCAGCTCGCCGCCGTCCTTGCACACGCGGCAGAACTCCATGTGGTCGTCCTCCTCCTCCTCGCAGCCGCCCTCCTCCTCCTCGTCGTCGTCGTCCTTCGGCTCCCACTGGATCCCCTCCTTCTCCTGGAGGGGGGGAGTCCAGGTGGAGGCACCCTGGACCAGGACCCCACCTCCACCAGGGAGCGACTCCCTCCCTCCCACTCGCACTTCCCCATGTTCTGCCCCAGAAGACCGTGCAGGAGTCCGGAAGCCAGGCACAGACAAAATCCCGCCCCGGCGCGTCTGCCAAGGGCTTACACAGTGGGGACAGCTCCACTTGCCCTCGGGAGCTTTCTCCAGCTCTGGGTCCAGGCAGACGAGGTGGTAGGCCCTCGGGCAGGTGTCGCACAGGATGATCTCCCCACCCTGCTGGCACACCTCACAGTAGTCCTGGTGGTCCGTCTCATAGCCATCACCGTCATCAACTGCGGAGGGGGCAGAGGCAGTCATGGAGGGCCTTGTTCCCACTCCCAGTGCACAGCCAATCTCCACGCCAGGCTGCCCTGGCGCATACTAGGCTCTCAATAGATGTTGGGTGGTGGGTGGACAGACAGGGTCAACAGGAGGACTGAAAGAGTAAAGGGGTGAAGAGATGGATGGAAGATGGATAAAAGGAAAGGAAGGGAAGGAGGGAGAAGGAAGGAAAGAAGAAAGATGGGTGAATGCATGGAAAGATGAATGGCTGGATAAATAAAGACAAGGGAGGGAGGGAACGAGGATGGAGAGGGGGAACGAGGATGGGTAGGGGAATGGGGCTGAGGGGATACATGGGTAGAGGGTGGATGAGGTTAAGAAGCAACTCCTCCTGTGCCCCCCTCTGCCAGTGCAAATGCCCTGGGGTGGCTCACATCACGGGTCCCTAACGTATGCAGACTCACTTCGACAGGACCCCCTCTCCTAACCACAGAGGCCAGGGTGCTTGAGGAAGCACAGGGGGGCTTCCTGCTGAGGGGTGCCCTTCTCCGCTCCCCGAGGGGGCTCTGCATGCCCACATGCGCCGCGGTGGCCATGTGAACCGTGCAGACAGGACTCTTACTTCTCTTCTTCTGGCGCCTCCTCTTGCTCTTCCTCCCCATCAGGGCAGAACACTCCGAGCGCACAGAGGCGCTGTGGATGCTGGCACTGTCCAAGTCCGACCCCTCCCGCTGCTCCTCCTCACTCTGTGGAAGCGGGGGGGGGGGGGAGGCGCTGTGAGCCTGGAGCCAGCCCTGGGGGCTCATCTGCAGGCTTCGCAGGCCTGGGGGGCGGGGCAGGGCACAGGGGAGGCTCCAGAGGCACAGTGCTGTCTGTCTCTGGTTCATCTCGTCCCTCCACCCAGCTAGAAAACCCTCAGCCCACCGGTCCAGCCTGATGGCCTTCCACCCTCCTCCCCAAGCCCTGCTCTCCAGCCCTCAGACCCTCCCCACACTTTCCACCTCCGGAACTCTCCCAGGCCCTGCCCTCCACCCTGCCAAACTCCTACACATCCCTCAAGGGGAAGCCCTAAGGACACCTCCCCCAAGGAGCCTTCCCAGATCTCTCCCTAATGAGACCTGTTGCACAGCCTTGTGCCAGGTCCGACCTGTCCCATCTGCCTGTCATTGGCTCTCTCCCAGTGCATGTGCCCAAACCCTTCCAGCCTGCGAGCAGCTCCAGAGCAGGGCCCACCGTGGTGGAGCAGAGGGCCTAGCACATTAGTTTGTGCTCAAAAGCTAACCTGAGCTGGACCACCAGCTCCGGGCTGGACCATGCCTGCTGCTCCGTGCTCCCCTCCACAGCAGCTAAACTTGAGACCTGTCACTTGCCCCTATGAAGGGACAAAGAGATGGCTTCCATCTCTGCCCCTCCGCAGGGCTGGGTCAGGTGAGGGAAACAGGTGCCCTGTAGGGGCAGGATGGGGGTGAATGCCTCTACCCCCGGAGAAAGAGGGCTCAAAGGCTCAGACACGGACTTAGGGTCATTCCAAAGCTGGTGACAGAGCTGGCCCTGGGAGGGCAAGGGAGGGGCAGGGTTCCAGCCCAGCCCTATCCTGCCTACATGCCACCTTCCTGGGGCCTGCCCTCCCAGCAGACCTGGGCATCCAGGCGCCCCCCAGGACTCTCCCGCCTGCTGCCCAGATGGAGAGGCAGTTGGGGCGGAAGGAGCCAGGACTGAGCCCCCAGCTCAGCAAGGTGGGCAGGAGAGCTACCCACCCAGAGTCCAAGCTACAGGGGGCCTTGGAAGGATCCAGGCTGAGCCCCTCACCAGTCAGGTGGGGAAACAAGCTCAGCAGGCCTGAATGTAGAATGGGAGAGTCTGGGGCAGGGGCGAGGGGATGGTGTGTACAAGACCTGCCCCCTGCCTGGTTCAGGAGAATGAACTGATAGCCCTGCTTTCCACGTCACCCAACCTTTGCATGTTACACACACACACACGCACGCACACGCACGCACACACACTCACACTCGCACTCACACACACACACACACACACTCTCTCACACTCGCACTCACCGAGGAGCCTTTCTTCCTCTTGCTGCCAACCCCTCCGAAGCGGAACTTGAGCCCGGCCACCTTTCTCCCTTTGCCCTTTTTCTTCACATCCTTGGAGCCTTTGATCTTCTTCCTCACTCCAGGCCCTGAAAAGCACCGGTGGAATAGCCAGCGCCCGCCACGGCTCACTCACTCACCGCCATGCTCTCACTCGGCCTTGAGAACCCGCTTTAAGGAAAGGGTGGTTTCTGCCGCTGCCCCTTCTCGGATGAGAAGACTGAGGCTCGGAAAGGTGACGTCCTTGCACAGCAGAGGGGAAGCCAGAGAAGAACCCTGGCCCAGTCCCCGCTCTGGCCGCTGTGCTGCCATCTTAGGAACAGCCCTGTCCCATCCCTCTCCCCAGAAAGGGGCTGTCCCCAGTGGAGCCACCAGCCCCCAGGGCCACTAAGGGCACACCGACCCACCTGCGGACCATCCTAGGCCCTGGAGGGATGTGCTAGGGCAAGAAGCCCTTTCCCCAGCTGCCAGCCTCCGGGCCACTAAGGGCACACCGACCCACCTGCGGACCATACCTAGGCCCTGGAGGGATGTGCTAGGGCAAGAAGCCCTTTCCCCAGCTGCCAGCCTCCGGGCTGTCTGCCATACCCCACACACCAGCACCACTCAAGACCGCCCTCGCCTCTGCCCATCATCCCCAGGAAATGCTGGCTCCCAGGTGGCCAGCAGGGGTGAGGTTGTTTTTATGGAACTGGTCACAGGACAATTAGTCACCTGGGGAGTAATGACCGCCCCCAGCAGCCTCTCCCACCAGGCCGAGCAGGGCAAGTGGGGGCCTAAAGGCAGATGGCCTCGCCCCAGGCCCTCCTCCGCCCACATCACACACAGAGAGCTGGGTCTGCGAGCCCAGCTGTAACCTCAGTGGCGCCACGGAAAATCTATTTCAATTTTTCAGGCTCTGAATAGGCAGCTCAGGGAATCGATAGCTCAGCAGCTGGAGCCCGACAGGAAATGAGAAAGAAGCCTGGCTGTGCAGACAGCAAGGGAGGGGAGCGGAAGCAGTCTCTCAAGCCCGCGTCACTCACCCACCGGGGCCCCCTGTGGGACCTGCTACAGAGAGGCATTATCCCAGAAACCAAAGCTCCTTGGGGCAGAAACAAGGGGTCCCCAGCGTCCGCTCTGCCCCCCATCAAAACCCAGGTCAGGGGACTTCCTTGGTGGCGCAGTGGTTACGAATCCGCCTGCCAATGCGGGGGACACGGGTTCGATCCCTGGTCCGGGAAGATCCCACATGCCGCGGAGACACTAAGCCTGTGCGCCACAACTCCTGAGCCTGTGCTCTAGAGCCCACGAGCCACAACTACCGAGCCCGCGTGCCACAACTACTGAAGCCCGTGCACCTAGAGCCCGTGCTCCGCAACAAGAGAAGCCACTGCAATGAGAAGCCCACACACCGCAATGAAGAGTAGACCCCGCTCGCCGCAACGAGAGAAAGCCCACGTGCAGCAACAAAGACCCAACGCAGCCAAAAAAACCCAGGTCAGGGCACCCAGGAAGGTGAGCTGCAGGCAACACCACCACTCAGAGCCCCAGGGAGATCAATGTCCCTACTCCCAGTGGGGCCATAAATCCTCCATCCGGGGAAGAAAGGTCCCTCCCCTAGAACTTCAAGTCGCAGAGAGCCTCTGCTGTCCCTATTCTCCCCACCCAGACACCACCACAGAGTCTGATTTTGTATCTGGACCTCCTTCCTGGCCTCCCTGGGAAGGCAGCCCTGTCCACGCCCACGCCCATGTACATCCGTTACCCCAAGGGCCGGGTGCTCAGAGGAGAGCGATCCACGGGTCACCTTGGGACCCCTTCCCCCTGGGAATGGTGCAGGCTCCAACCCAAGAGCCCCCTAACTCCCAGTAGCACGGGCCACACCTCTGTCCCCTCCTCCACACCTGGGAAAACTCCCAAAGCTCTGAGCCCACCGCCTCCTCCACTTCGCCAGCAGCCCCAAGAGAGAGGCAGGGCAGATGCCACAACACAGCTGAGGAAGGGTGGGTGGGTCCAAGGTCAACCAACGCACTGGGTCCTTGATAGAGACGGGCCCGTTTGTCCCAGACTGTAGGGCCTGGGGGCCCTCTGCCAGCAGGACTGGGTGCAGCCTTACCCTTGCCCTCCTTGGTCTTGGCCTTGCGGACGGGCACAGGCTGGGGTGCCTGCTGGGGGCTGATGGCCAGCGGAGGCGCGATGGTGACCGTCTCCACGGCCGCGGCCACCGCTGCTGCGGCTGCCGCCGCCGAGCTGCCCTTAAAGGGGTTGTTGGCGCTGAACTCTCGCCACTTGGCGCCCAGGACGGTCATCATTTTGGACATGGGGATCTTCGGGTTCTTCTTGGCGATGAGTGGCCTGCGTGGGGGGAGAGGCAGGAAGGTGAGGACAGCCCCGTGGAAGGGATGAGACCCCCATGTGACCCCCCGCAGGGCCCACCCTTCTTCTCCCAAGTCCCACACCTGGCATATACAGCAAACTGGGAAAACTGGGCAGAAAGGAGGGCAGGGAAGAGGACCAAGACAGAGACAGCAGTCCAGCCCCAAGGCTCCCGATTCCCTGTTTATGTGGCCGGTGATCTTCTAATTGGGTTTTCAGACCCTGTAAGACCCGAGGGGCCAGAGGCAGGGGTCCAGTCCCATTTCTTTTAGAGCTGAGTGTGGCCACGGGGGCTCAAGACCCCTGGGAATGACTGGGGTTGCCATCCCTGGGGGTAGGACCAGCGAGGGAAAGCAGGACCACCTGTTGAGATGGAAGGGTCCTGCCTGCCCCTCCTGCCAGCTCTGCCCAGGGTCAATGTCAGCCTGGAAGCCCACCCCAGGAGCCCGGGGCCCTGCCCCTCTGGCCACCCCACTTGGTGCCCCGGGGGGAGGCAGGCCTCGAGGGCAGTCTCCGTGGATGCCCAGCCATGGTGGCCCCGAGGCCCACCTGAGGAACTGGCTGAAGGCTTTGTAGTTGGTCAGCGTGTGATAGTCGGCCTCTGAGAACGGGTAGTCCACGTCGTCCAGGCCCCACTCGGCCATGAGCTGCCCCGAGGACTTGGGCTCCTACGGACACACAGGCCGGAGGTGGAATGAGAGGTGGGGGTCCTTTTACCCTGAACCCCCCACCAGGGCCCCACCCAGGGCGCCTCGGAAAAGCAGGAGGATTATGTCAGCAACTTAACGAGAGCAGTTCTCACCGACCACTGAAATCCTACAGCATCTCAGGCCGCCAGCCCCTTGATCAGTGGGAACGGCCCAGATGCCAGCTCATGACGGGGTGCGGGCCACACGCCTGGGGGGCTAATGCGGGGGTTTGGGGGGAAGCCACGTGCATGTCCAGGGCAGGAATAATATCAGGACTCACTCTGTCCACCCCAGGAGATCACCTAGTACAGTCACACTCGGACCTCGTGAAAGGGCAGGTCACTGCGGGTTCAGGGACCAGGAAGGTGTGCCCTGGTCAGGGCAGTGGCCCAGCTCAGGGCACAGCCCAGAGAGGGTCCCTCGGCTCCTGCTTCACTCTCCAGATGGGGCACCGAAGCCCAGGGAGGTGCGCGAGTTCCCAAGGGCACAAAGACAGCCAGCCAGCCCAGGCGTCAGGTCACAAAGCAGACCCCGGATGGCTAGGAAGGGAGGGGTGGGCGGTGGTGCTGGCTATGAGATTGGAACCTGCTGGACAGAGGCAGGCTCCAATCCTGGCTCTGCCACATACTAGCAGTGAGAGGTGGACAAGCTACTTCATCTCTCTATGCCTCAGTTTCCCCATCTGTAAAATGGGGATAACAGCACCTACGTCACAGGAGGGACGGAGTTAGCACAGGTGCTTGGAACAGGGCCCTCACCCCGATTTCCCATTTGCTCCAGGCAGCCCTGAGCTGTGCCAGCCCCACCCACAGATCCATTCCACCAATCAGCACACGCCATCCCAGGCCACAGTCACTGATCCAGGGGGCATGTGACTCAACCGGTCCAGGCAGGGGCACCCCTGGGTCTCCTGTGCGGACAGCTAGGACACAAGCCAGCTTTCCCTCCTGCTGGATGGGGCAGGGGGTGTCCACGAAGCCCTGCACTGCTGCTACACACATTCCCAGCCACGAGGGTGCCTGGCCTGAACCCAAAGCTGACCCTCCAAAGGCAAAGAAACAGGGCCCTGGATGACACCACTGGGTCCCCCTAGCTGGAAGCCCCCTTGCCTCTCAACTCTTACGGCTGCTGATCCAACAGACCCCTTTTACTGCCTAAGCCCCTCAGAGTTGGGCCGTCTGCTCCAGCAAGGGAAGGCCACCCAGGCAGAACACACGGCCTCCCTCGGCCCCAAGGGACCCGCTTCCTGACCTCCTGTTCTCTGTGGCAGTTCAGAGGTGCTCCCACGTGGGGCCCCCTCCCTTGGCCAACCTGCTCCTGACACACAGCCAGTCCTGGAGCTTCCCACCACAAAGTAGAGCAGCAAGTGAGCGATGACATTATTACAGGACGACCCTGAATCACTCCTGTAAGTTCTTCTTCCAAATCTGTCAGCTTCTCAGCTGTCATCAGTCACAGGTGACTCATAACACACCTGCCAACTAACGAGCTCCCTCCGGGTGTCGGGACACCGCCAGCACTAACTCACATGCTAACATTTACGGAGCACTTATCTTCAAATCCACGGCCAGCCCAAACTGAGCCTCATCAAAGATCGAAGGCAGCAGGAGGTTCCCGGATGAGGTGCTATCATCTGCCCCTGCCCGACCCAGAGACCCAGGACCCAGAGCCCATCTGCCGCCCTACCCTCGGCCCCTCCCCCCACCCCCGCGGAGCACCCCCCCGCAAGGAGCGGCCTTGACATTCCAGGGGCCACATCATGCCCCACTTTCACCGGGAAGAGGCTTCTCCCCAGGGGAGAGCTGCAGGCCCATCGCTATAGCTTCCATGACTCTCGTTCCCTGGGACACTCTCCTGGGTGCCCACGTGGGATGAATTTCGGAACACGTGCTAAGGCCCCCTTCCACCATAAGCGGAGCTGTCCAGCCACTTCTTCTTAGCGAAAGCTCCATTTGTTTTAGTCTCCCAAACTGCTCCGACCAAGAGGTTCCTGACACCAAACTTGAGTTCAGACCATCGCTCTCCTCAGAAACGGCTGACCGCTCAAGCTGGGCAAACAGCGGACAATACATCAGCAAGAGGCCGCACGACTTCTTCCCCAAACTCCTGAGTGCCATCCACTGTTATTTCTAATGTGTCTCCGAGACCTGTGGCTACGGTATTTCTCACAAAGTCGTGTCCAACCTTCCTGCGCGTGCACTCACACACACACACCCATCTGCCCCGACGGCCCTTCGTGGGAAAGGATGCTCTGGTCCTTTGCCCACAGGGGCTCCTGCAGGGCAGGGAGCTGACAGCAGGAGGCTCAGCTCGTCCAAGCAGGGTCCCCCAGCCAGGCGTCAGGGTTACCTTGAGGCATCCGTCATCGTTGTCGTCCTCATCATCATCTTTCTTTTTTCGCTTGGCTTTTTTCTCCTTCTTGTCCTTGAGTTTTTTCTTCTTCTTTTTATTTGGGGAGTAGTCGCTGCCCTCACTGTCCGACTTCTCTTCCAGATCCTCTTCATTTTCCGACAGCTCATCATTGCTCCCCTGGAAGAGAAAGGTGGACGGTGAGAACAACAGGGGCCCAAAGAAAATGCAGAGTCCCAGGCAGCAGCACTGCCCTGAGAGCGGCCTCCTGGCAGAGTCTCACCCACCAGACCACTAAATCCCAGACAGAGGGGCTGCCCTGAGCCAGCACGGGGTAAGGGTCTCGTCCCCAATGACTGGTTGGTGACAAATGGTGCTGTGCAGGTGAGTCGAGGCCTCGGGTGAAGACACACGCCCCCACCAGGCAAGCTCAGTGCAGCCCGCTTAGACGGCCCTGTTTCAGGTTTCTATGGGCTTTGGGACTGTATCGCGTGTCAGCGACGGCACTCGGACCCAGGCGCTCGTAGAGAGGATATCATGCCCAGAGCCAAAAACCAAAATGCGGTCCACGCTGGAGAAGAGCCCCCAACTTCCGCCCCGGCTCCCAGATCCTCTCCTCTCTGTTCATCTTTGCATCCTATGGAGTCGTGTGTGTCAAGTGAAACCTGTGATTAACACAGAGAGCACGTCCCAGTTTCATCTGCCTGTGCGCTCTCCGGACGCTGCTAGGGCACGAGCCCACCTTCCCCACCGCCGGAACCCTGGCTGCTCATCTCAATATGCGACAAAGTAATTGAGGCAGCTCTTAAGCTTGGTTTCCTCAATTCAGTTTCCATCCGTACAGGCAGAAAATGGCCCATTTATATGGAGATAAGGGTGTTTACAGACAGAGCATCCCCATCAGAAAGGCGCTGCCCCTGCGAGAAAGCTGAGAAAGCTGTGTATTCGGGGCTTTTCAAGAGGCAAGCAGGCTGATTAGGCCCCTCCCGGCCTGGGTCTGCAGGAGAGGCCAGGCACGGATGCGCCAATGAAGATGACACTTGGCATCTTCATGCCGGCGGTTTAGAGGCGGCAAAGAGAGGCACGGAAGAGATGAAGAAAGAACTGGAGAAATGAAGGATGTGAGCTCCGGAAGGAGCAATGAGGGAGGGAGGCAAAAGAGGAGGTGGAGAGCGAGGAGAAAGGCGGGGAGGAGGGAGAGGAAGGAAGGGGGCAGGGGAGGGAGCAGATGCAGAGAAGGAGGGCAGCAAGGGCAGTGGGTCTGTCTTGGAAGGCCCCCCCGCCCACTCTGCCCTTTCCAGCCGCACCGTGGAGTTGAGAGTCTTTCCCAGGAGGCAGACTCTTCCTGAGACACAGCTGGGAAAGGACCCACCCGTGGGGTCCCTGCACTTCCTGACTCTCCTGCTGCTCGGCTCCCAAACCTTTTATGCCCGTTAAGCCGCTGAGTCAGTGTGCTGGCTGGTGGCTGGCAGGCAGCAGAGCCTCTGGGCCTTCCCGGAATACTGACTCGGTCGGCCACACCGGGCGGGCTCCAGGGGCAGTGCGCCGCTCCTGGCTGCTGCCGGAGCCTGCCCAGGGCAGGACAGCCTTGCACGCGATCCCGTTCCCAGGGCTCATGGCCACAGCTCCCAGCCCTGCCTCGGTCCTCTGGGGAGGCAGGGGTCAGACAGGGATGTCCATTTCCCCCAAGGATGTAGCGTTTGGCCAGCTTGGAAAGAGCACCCTTCGATAGACCTGAGAGACAGGCTCTATCCCAGCCACACCCCCGCACAGGTAAGGATGGGAGGAGGGAAGTGCCACAGGCTTCAGCACCGCGGACAGAGGCTGTGGGGCCCGCCGAGGGAGGGCCGTGGGGCTGGCCCTCAGCTGCCCTGGGGACCCCGCGAACCAGAGCAGGGAAGAGACAGGAGGACCCACGGTGGGTCCGGGGGCTCCCTGGGGAGGCTGCAGGACACAGACTGTCTCGGAGCTCTGACCCTTGCTAGTCCGGAATTGGGCAAAAAGTCACTGCAGCATCCTGACCTCAGCCTCCTTGTGTGTGAAATGGGGGTGCTATACAGGGCGGTAAGAGGAACAAAGGAGATAACGTGAGAGAGAAGGCCTTAAGCATTTTGAAGTAGGAGAGTCCCAAGTACCCATGATACCCCCGACTCTGCTCGGAAGCTGAAGACGCAGCCAGGACCACAAACCGGAGGACACGAGCCTCATCCCACCTCGTGTCTGCAAATCGGGGCTGGACTAAAGCCAAGTGCACGGACAGTGCCTGCAGCTGGGCAGCAACTACAGTGCAGACGGGCAGCAGGACGCCCAGAAGGGGCTGTGTGACCGCACCTGAGGGGGAGGTGCCCTGAGTGTCTGCTGGGGAGCCTGCACGCCACATCCCAAGTGCAGGAGAGGTGGGGAGTGGCCAGCACAGCTCTGAACGCAGGGCCCAGAGGGAGCTGGAGGTCTCCAGGGAGGGCGGGGAAGGCGCCTCCAGCAGACGCCCTGTCGGTGCGTGTGCACAGTGGTGGGGGGGGGGGGGGGGGGGCGGGGGGGGCACGTCTGGCAGAAGGCCCCAAGCTGTGCACTGCCAGGAGTGTGTTAGTCCAGCAGCCACTCCGGGGCTAAGTGGGGGGACAGGAGGGCAACGTTTCTTCTCGAGGAATGAGCCGGAGCTACAGCAGGACAGTCAGCGCCCCTGCGGCCCAGCAGGACAGTCAGCGCCCCTGCGGCCCAGCAGGACAGTCAGCGCCCCTGCGGCCCAGCGCGGGACGACAATGACGGCAGCCCCTCGTTTCAGGGAAGGCGCAGACCCCTCCCTGCCCTGTCTACCTGCACCGGGGAAAGCCTGGCCAAGGAGAAGGCAGATTCCTCAATTCCCCGGCTCCCCGCCCATTCCCTGATCCCCTCTCTGCCCTGCCTTCTCCCCCACCTGCATCCCGATCTCGTCCAAGCCCCCCTGCCCACCCGGGAGGCTGGTGGAGGGCGGGGTGCAGGACAGGTCTTTGGAGATGGTTTTCCCGATGGTACAATCAGTCTGTACCCACAGCGCCTCTCTGTATCCAGCTGTTTGGACACATCTAGACCAGGGCCTCCTTTTTTCTGTGTTCTGTTATTCCAAAATCTTCCCTTGCAGAGAAAGGGGCAAGCGGAAGGGCAGCGAGTGGTTCTGAAAACAACTCGAAGAGGAGTGACCCAACAGCAGGACCTGGAGGGATGCAGGTCGGCCAGTGCAAGAAGGGGAGGAATGACCAGGAACCAGGAGTAGGCTCACCATTCGGTATCTCGAAACTTACAGGGGAGAGTGCGGGCCAAGCCACACTCAGGGAGGAGACACAGGCACAGAGCAAAAATGCCCTAATAAAGCCCCGAACCAAGCTGAGCCCCGAGCCACACTGTGGGTGGGCTCTGAACATCAGGACCAGCTGGGGCTGTGACCCTGATGCTGTGCCCTCTGGGCTGCAGCAGCCCCGGGCAGGACTATAGGGGACACCCTGGATGGCAGAAGGATCTAAGGGAACTTGGAGTCCCAACAGAACCCATCTGCAAAGCTGCCTTCAATCCTACACCCAGGCTGAGTATGCGAGGAACTGGGGGTAGGGAGGAGGGGTCTCTGCCCTGAGCCCCGGGCCCACTGAAGGCACAGCGTGCCACCCGTGAAGGCCCTGGGGACCCCGAGCGGGCAGTCTATGCCCACCCTTCCTCCCCCAGCTCTGCAGATGTCTTTCGATCCAGGCCTCGCATCCCTCTCTCCCTTCCCTCTATGCCCAGCACTCAGCACACACCACATCTCTCTAAAAAGCAGGCATTTAAACTCAAAAGGAAGGACTCAGAGAGTTGGTCATTCTCAATTTGGGGTCCTTCGAGACTGAGAGGGAAAAAGAAAGAATGAAATATGAGCCTTCCCATTCACGAGTGTTATAAACAGTTATAATTTAGCACTGAATAATTGGTTGCTATGGTAACCGCTGCAGCACAGGTTGAAATCCTTTCTCCCTCCTGCGCTGGGTCTGACAAGGAGCTTCATCTGCATATGCTCAGGTTCCGGCCGAAGCCCCGGTTATTTTATGTAAATCAGAATTCACGACTTGCTGCCTGTCCCTCCACCCCACCCCCAAAAAACCTGCCGCTACATGGGTTCCACCACCGGGGGCCCTCTGCTCCCTCCACCCAGCGCCTTGTGTTGGGGCCACCTGGTTGGAGATGAAAAGGAGAAAAGGGGTGACATTCCCCTCCCCACATCCCGAGGACTGGGCTCTGCAGGCGGGCGGGCGGGCAGTGTGCACATGGCGGCCAGGACCCTGCTCTCTGGCTCAGACTGCTGACATCTGAGAGCTGCCAAGCCAGACTCTCAGCAATGCTGGGGAGGGCGCAACAGTGGCCCGAGGGCCACCTTGGCGGTCTGGCTGGCAGCGCCCGGTCATCTGCGGGGCCCTCCAGTCTACCCTGGCCTCCATCTCCTTTGAGATCCAGGAACTGCATCTCAGTAGAGAGAGGAAGGAGAGAGGGAGAGGAAGTGAGGGGAGGGAGAGTGGAATGGAGGAGAGGAGGAGAGAGGAAGGGGGGGGGTGCGGAAAGAAGAGGTGGGCGGAGAAGACATGCAGAGGAGGGAGAAGGAGGGCAAGGGAGACCCAGGAAGAGATGGATACAGCACAGAGGCCATGCTCAGACCACAGCAGTGAGAGACGAGAGCCTCCCTCCCAGTTCCCAAGAAAGAAGCTTCAGGAGAGGGAGAGAAATCGCTGGGGAGAAGGTGCTTGCGCGGGATGCCCCCATCCCCCGGGACCCTAGAATCTGCCTCCGCCCCGCATCCACAGAGCATCAGGTCTGAGGGCTGACAGCAGCGGCCACAACAGAGCCAAGATTTCAGAGCTTCAACCGGGAAGTCGGCCCCTGCATCCCAGGGCCCCGCCGGCCCTGAGCCATCTAATCTCTGCCCCCAACAAAGACAGACCTGCGGGCCAGGGTGCGGGAGGGGCTGGGGGGAGCTGCAGCAGGGAATTCGGAGCCCCCTCCCCACAGCAGGGGGACCCGGTTCACAGCACCTCCCTCGGGGGAGTTGGGGGAGCCTCCAGGCACGGGCCACCCCCCCTTCCCCTCTCCTGCCTCCACTGCCCCTCCTGGATAACGGGGACAGGAAGCGGCAGCTCACAACCTGCCCACATGCAGCCCACGTACCAGCCGCGGGGTTAGGGGTGGGGTGTCCCGGGAGGGTATAGACCTGTCAATCCTGGAAGGATGCCAGGAGCCCAGGCAGTGAGGAGAAAGCTGAGGGGCAGCAGAGATGGAGGGTGGCATCGGACAGGGGCAGTGCTGGGCTCGGAGGAGGCTCAGGGTCCCTCTGGGGGGAGAAAGGGTCGTCTATGCGCGCCAGAGGAGACGGACAGCCGGGTGTGGCCGCAAGCGGGCAGGGAGAGGCTTCGGGGCAGCTTTGGCCAGGAGCCTGGACAGGGCAGCTGTCCTAAGGAGGTCCTTCCCGGGAGCCAGGAGAGCCGAACAGGGGGCGGACCTGGTAAGAAATGCTGACCCCAAGCTCACCAGAGAACACAGGCAGGATGTACCTGCGTGGTTCCAGCTGGAGGAGGTGCGGCTGACACCTCCCTGCCCCAGTCCCTGAGCTCCAGGCAGGCCAGCCCGGGGCCAACCACTATGGGGACCCGGGGCACCGCCCAGGGCAGGCCCTGCCCTCCAGACGCTTGCAGGCTGACACCCTGGATGCCCCCGAGGGCCACTGGCCTTCCCCGTGGCACCTCTCATGTGAAGACGCCCTGGTGGCCCATATCTGATTTGCCCCCAAACAAGCAGGCGGGTGTGGATAGGTGATGCTCCCCTTACTACAGACACAGAAGCAAGGCTCAGACAGGTGTGGGCAGTGGCCTGGGGAGATGTGGGGAAGAAACTCCACCACCCATCGCCTGCCCACCATCACAGGCCCTTTGTCCTCAGGAGTCTCCTCCCTCCTGCCCCCGCAGCCTGTTTGGGGACCCTCCAGAGTTAAGTCATACCACGGCCCCCTCTGCACAAAGCCTTGCAGGGGACGAGCCAGAGGCCCACGGCGGCCTTTGAGGCCACGTCAGAACATCTCCACAGGGCACCCCCACACACACACTGCTACTCTGTCCCGGGGCCACCGAGGGCGATGACACCCCCCGACCGCCTCCCCTCTGAGGCTGGGCCAGGTGGGTCTCCTCTGGGCAGGGGAGGCGAGAAGGCCAGAGGGCCGACAGCGCTTCCCCTCGGAGCAGGCGGGCCAGGGGAGGACCAGGCTGGGGGGCTGGGGGCAGCCGGACATCCCCAGGGCCAGATCTCAGCTGTGTTGCTGTGACCCCTGGCAAGTTCATCTCTGAGCCTCATCTGGAAAGCAAGGTGCACACCAGCCCCTCCCCATAAAGCCACCGGAAGGATCGAGTGACGCCGAGGAGAGGTGGCAGCTCTCACAAGGTGAGAGACGGGAGTCCCCACGTTGCCCTATGACCCTATGACCGTCCCCTCCAAGCGCCGAGGGCTTTAAGCTAAGAGGCAGCCCTGGTTTCCCCCTCTGTCGGGTGGTGATGACCATCCCTGCCCCCGACTCCCAAGGTTGTTGTTGAGGATGAAGTGAGTCCACGCGGGGCATTCTAGAAATGCTCACACGAGTTACTCATAGGAGACCCATCCCTCACCGGGGTCTCCTTACTCTTCTCCCATTTGTATCTTGCTCACCAGGATTCCAACTCACAACAGGTTGGAAGCAGCAAACCAGAGGGACAGACAGCTGGCAGGAGGCAGATACGGAGCGGGTAGCGGAAGGCACCACCAAGAGCACAGAGGCAGTGGACACAGGTGCAAGCGGGAATAGGGGCCTCCAGTGAAGGGGAGGGAGCGCCGGGGACCCCATGTTGTCATGGCCCAGGACAGACACCAAGGAGAAAAGAATAAACACCCCAGCACACCGTGTTTAAGAACACAGTAGGGACTTCCCTGCTGGTGCAGTGGTTAAGCATCCGCCTGCCAGTGCAGGGGACACGGGTTCGAGCCCTGGTCCGGGAAGATCCCACATGCCGCAGAGCACCAAAGCCCGTGTGCCACAACTACTGAGCCTGCGCTCTAGAGCCTGTGAGCCACAACTACTGAGCCCGCGTGCCGCAACTACTGAAGCCCACGCGCCTAGAGCCCGTGCTCCACAACGAGAAGCCACCGCAATGAGAAGCCCGCGCACCTCAACAAAGAGTAGCCCCCACTCGCCACAACTAGAGAAAGCTCGCGCGCAGCTACGAAGACCCAACGCAGCCAAAAATAAAAAAGTACACTTGGGAATTCCCTGGCGGTCCAGTGCTTAGGACTCCGTACTCTCACTGCCGTGGCCCGGGTTCAATCCCTGGTCAGGAAACTAAGATCCCGCAAGCCGTGCTGTGCGGCCAAAAAAAAAAAAAAGAAAAAAAAAGGACAGGACACTTGAGATACATCTCGGGGCAGGTGTCCGTGGGGACGCTGCCCACACCAGACACTGGTTTTGGTGTTTCTCACTCAGGCTCAGCTCTCAGGAGGCACCCCTCTGCCAGATGGTCCCGGGAGCCCACGTCTTTCTCCACAGGCCCAGGAGGAGCAGTCAGGACGCCCGCGTGGCCCAGCCCCACTCACCTCTTTCTTCTTCCTCGTCCCTTTGGACCTGTTGTCCTTGAGCTTCTTGGACTTCTTCTTCTTGGGAAGGCTCACGGGCTCCTCAGGGAAAAAGTCATCGAAGCCTTCAAGGCCACCATCTTCTTCTTCTGGAAGAATCAGAAGGGGGAGGGGGTTACTCCGCTGCTTCCTTCAGGAAGACCCCCAGGGACACAGAGTGAGAGGCAGGGCCCGCTGGGACAGTCAGTTCCTCTGCCACCCAACTGTGCCGGATCACGGCCACCCTGCCCTCCCCAGCCCATCCCCACCCCTCCCCGCCTTCTCCATCTAGTTCCCCTGCTCCAACCCCTCAAAGCCACCCCCAGACCCGCGGAGTGGAACCCCAGCCCCTTGGGCTGTGTCACATCACCCCACCTCTCTGGGCCTCTCCTCCTCTCAACCTGTAAAATGGAACAATAACCACCTACCCTGCTATGACAGTGCTTGGGAAACTGAAGCAAAAACAAACGACCAGGGCTTCCCTGGTGGCGCAGTGGTTAAGAATCCACCTGCCAATGCAGAGGACACGGGTTCAAGCCCTGGTCCGGGAAGATCCCACATGCCGCAGAGCAACTAAGCCCATGCGCCACAACTACTGAGCCTGCGCTCTAGAGCCCGCGGGCCACAACTACTGAGCCTGTGTGCCTAGAGCCCGTGCTCCACAAGAGAAGCCACCGCAGTGAGAAGCCCGCGCACCGCAATGAAGAGTAGCCCCCCCCCGCTCGCCACAACTAGAGAAAAGCCCGCGCCGCAGCAACGAAGACCCAACACAGCCAAAAATAAATAAATAAAATAAAACAGATTTTAAAAATTTAAAAAAAAAACAACGAATGACCAAGTAAGAGGCCTTGTGGACACGGCTCCCCAGGGAGAAAGCAGCCCCACGGAGTCACAAAGCCATCTCCAGCTGGCCCAGGGAGGGGTCGAGGCCCACCTCCGCCCTCCAGAGGGCCACGGCGTGGCCAGGAGAGAGCCTGTGAGTGCAGGATGACAGGGACGTACAGGTCACATCCCCCTGGGACCACCTGGTGCCTTGGAGCAAGCGCCCGGGAGCTTGGAGGAGAGACCAGCGCGGGGGATGTCAGGGCTCCCCTTAATGGGGATTCGAGGACCACACTGCCCCCGCTGCCTGGTCCCCACCCGCACCTGCCAGGCCCACTCCCCGTCACAGGTACCCGGACACACACAGCAGGATGCCAAACACACTCCGCTGGGCGCTCGGGACGATGTGACGGTCCACAGAGAGGTGGGTTTTCTAGAAGCTGCCCGCCTTTCCTGAATCCTCATTCCTTCACGCACTGGAAAGGCTGGGGGGAGCAGGCGGGTGTGTCACGTGGGGATCTTAGAAGAAGCTGCAGGCTACATGCTTCTTGCTGCCCCCAAAGGGAGCCCGTGGCTGGGGCCTAACTCCCACCCAGGAAGTCAGGGGTAAGAAAGGGCACGAGCCCTGGGTTCCTGGGACCAGACGTAGGCCCCAGGGCTGGGGGTGCGGAGAGCGAGAGGGCCCTCTTGGGGGCAGACGGCAGCAAAAAGACACCGCAAGAACAAGCCACCCAGACTAGAGCTATGCATCTGCCTGCCAGGGATGAAGGAAGCTTCCAGTAGGCACCGGCACAACCTCCAAAGAGTCCACAAAAGGGGTCCACAAGCCAGCCACCCTCCACACCAGCAGCTTATCCCCCATCCCACGGCCTTCACTGCCCACGTGCACGGGGGTGGGGGGACACGACAGGGAGTCTCGCTCGGTCTGGGGTCTGCCTCGAGCGGGACCCCACTGTGGGGCTGCCACCCTGGGAGACCCTTAGGAGGGCAGAAAGTCCCAGGGCCACGCAGGGGACTTTCATATGGGAAATGGGCAGTGTCCTCACTGAATCGGGTTTAAATGATAGGCCCCCAACCCCGTCCAGGAAGTCTAAAAATTCTAGAGTAAAACATCCTGGCTGTTGAACGCGCCAGACCCACAGATGCTTGGACACACCCTGGGCGCTCCAACATCGCCCATCCTCCAGAGGGGTCTACCCCAGGGCCTGGGACCCTGCCCCCTAGAGTCCCCAGAGGGGAGGGGGAAGGCACCCATCACCACACTCTGGGTGCGGCTAGAGGGCGCTGGTGATGCTGGTGGCCCAGTGAATGCCCGTCCCGCCCACACCTGGAGGGCCAGTTCCCACACGTACCACACCCCAACCCAGGGAAGGCGGGGGCTGCACCCTCTGTCTCAGCGCCCCTCTGCCCCAGGGCCCTCCTCCAAGGCTGCCAGGGGGCCTGTGGCCCTGCCCCCCAGGAAGCAAGTGCTAGCCCTGTCTTGTCCGGCCCCCCCAGGAGTCCACGGGGACAGGGCATGCCCAAGTCTCAGTCCCCTCCCCATCCTGCCAGGCAAACACAGACACAGAGAGAGACCAACTCCAGACAGGTGAGGGAGCTGCCGTGCAGGTGACACGAGGGTGGCCTGAGCGCTGGCCTTCCCCGGGAAGCCAGCTCAGCGGTCCTGAATGGCAGACAGGCGCAGGGCTGAGGACAGGACCACGTGGTGGGCACAGATGCTGTGGCCCTGGCCAGGGCTACGGCCCACGGGGCGGGCAGCGAGGGCAGGCCCGAAGCTGGGTTTAACGTGGGCAGGCTTTGAGGGGAGCCAGGCTAGGGCAGCAGGACCCGAGCCCGTCCTGTCCCCTGAGCCCTGGCAAGGGAGAGGCAAGGATTTCGGGGCCAGTTGGAAACGTTCATAGGGACCCCCAGTCATCCTGGAGTGGAGGGCTCTGGGGACAGTGACATGGCTGGCGGGGAGCCAGGCTGACGAGGAGATGCCCGTCCACGCCTGCCCACTCTCCCACCGGCCTCCACCTCCCCCGGAGCTGCAAAGAGACCGCCTGGGAAAGCCACCCCCGCACGCTGGCCGTGCCCAGCTCGGTTATGTAACGGGCTCAGCTGATGCAACCGGGAGGGGGCCTCTCTCTCCCGCCTCCTGCTATCTCCCCACGTCCCCTGTCCCCTCAGCAGCGCAGTCCCCAGACTGGGAAGGCCAGCCCAGCACACGGTCACAGACTGACTGGCCAGCAGCACAGACCATGGATGCACAGGAGGCCATGGGAGGTTCTAGAAGGAAGCCTGGGATCTCCCATGGGCTGCGCCCCACCCTGCCTGGGAAGGAGGTAGGGGCACCTCTAGCCCTAACCCACGCCCAGGACAGGGCTCGGAGGAGAAGTCCTCAGGCCCTCTGCCCTTGGACAGACCCCTCCTCCACTCCCAGAAGACCTCACGGCCCAGGGCCATCTGTCTGGTTAAATCCCTCCTCCAGGGCCCTTCCAGAGCTGGCACACGACCACGGGGACCCCACCCTGCCCACCCCCATCTGCCTCCCCCGCACGGCTTCTGGTGGCCCTGAGGACACCCAGGGCTGACCTCCTGTGACGCTGCTCCCCGACACCCCCATGATTCCCACTCAGCCCTGCCCCCCTCCTCCCTCTTCTGCAACCAGCCCTGAGCTTCTTCTAAAACCAGACCTGGAGAGTCACAGCCAAGCAATCCTTCCCAGTGCCCATCGGCCCCTCCCGGAGCCCAGCCCTGTGCCTCCTCAGGGTACGCAGCCACCAGTAAGGCGGGAGCCCCCCCGCCCTGGGGGAGGGTCCTGAGGGGAAGCGGCCTCAAGACTCCTTGTCTGCCAGCTCCCTGCTGCCCCCCAGCCCTTCCAGCCAGGCGGCCGTGCCCTCACGCACCAGCCCTGCCCCTCCAGGGCCCGAGGCTCCATCGACCCCCAGAGGGGCTAGAATTAGGACCCATTAGCCCTGATCTGTCTCCCAGGTCTGGGGCAGGGCCGGGGGGAGACTGCTTCAGAGATGAGACGGGGGACAAGGGGGGGGACGGCAAAGAGAGGCACCTGCACCTCCTGCTGCTTTCCCCCAGCCCCTCACCAGGGGCTGCACACACTCTGGCTTAGCCCTGCGGGACCCCCAGGCTGCTCCGCAGGCTGCAGCCCGGGCGGGGGGCGTGGACCCTTCTTAGCGAAACACCTTATAGCAGTGGAAGGACCTACCACCTGCACCAAGCTCGAAGCAAGTAGCATATGTTCGTTTATATGAATTCATCTACTCCACACAGCAACTCTGGGAGACGGTACTATTATCACCCCCATGTGCAGACAAGGAAACAGGCTCCGAGGATCTCATCGCTTGCCCACTTGAGTCTCACAGCCGGCAGGTGGTAGAGCCAGGATGGAGCCCCGGCAGGTGGGTCCCACCCCCAGGTGTGGTCCCCGCACCTGCCCCTCCCTCCAGGTATAGGACCCTCCCAGAATTCAGACCTTCCCCACGTTTATTTCACAAGCATTTAAACAGCATAGCCCATGTGCCAGGCTCAGGCACGCCCAGGGGACACTGAGGTGACTCAGGCCGGCCCCTGGTCTGAAAGATCACCTGTGGTCCCTCAGGGTGGGAGGGTCAGGGCTAGTCCACCGCAAGTCCCCATGCTCTGCCCACCCCCTGCCCCTGTCCTCTGGGGACAGGGAACTTAGCAAACACAAGGTGATCAGAGCGAAAGAAAAACGTATGACTGTGGAAGGAAGAGGTAGGTCGTCTGATTCGGGGTGGCTGACGGATCTGGGGAGGTGCAGCCAGGAGCCGGATCAAGAGCTCCGTCACCCGAGTCCGGAAAGGTAAGCAAATCTGTCAGCGATGGGGACCCAGCTCGACGTCCACCATCCTCTCTGAAGCCTGTGGAGAGGGTCTCCTTCCATTCCCCCAAGCAGGAAACAAGACCACCTGGTGGCCAGGAGGAGGGACAGGGAGCTCAGGCTTCGAACCACCACCCCTTCCTGGCAGGGTGGCCCCCAATCCCTTCTCCACTGAGCCCACTTCCTCATTCTTGAAATGGGCCGAGTACTGGGAATTCCCCGGCAGTCCAGTGGTCAGGACTCCGTGCTTTCACTGCTGAGGGCGCAGGTTCAATCCCTGGTCGGGCAACTAAGATCCCGCAGGCTGAGCGATGCAGCCAAAATTAAATAAATAAAAATGTAAAGATAAATAGGCTGAGGACTGCCTTTCTCACGGGGTGATGAATTAGAAACTGTGAGATGCAGTTTAAGTGCCTGGCAGTGGCAGGCGGGGCCCAGGGCCTCAGGAGGGCTAGGATGGCCGGGGCTGAAGGAGTGGATGGCGGGGGGAGGGGTGGGCTCTCGTTTGGCCACTGCTGGGCCAGGGGTTCTCAGGGCCACCCTAGGGCTGGCCAAGGAGGGGTCACCAAGACTAAGGTTCCCATCAGTCCTTGGAGTGCCCCCCACACCACAGGTCTCTACTGACATTGCTGGGGGGGGGGCAGTACTCCCGCCCAAGAGAGGATTAATAATTCATTTATGACATTTAACAAAACCCAGACACTACCTCACTGGCATCTCATCAAACAAAACGTCAGTCCTGAGCACCACGGGCAGGCGGGCAGGCAGGCAGGTGGGGGCGGAGGACAGGGGAAGTTTTTACCCTAAGGGAGTGGGGCCTGGATAGAGTGAGGATGGAGGAGGCTGGGGAAAAGGAGGAAAGAGAGGCCAGGAGGGAGGGGACGGGGACAACAGAGGGAAAGAGAGGGACAGACAGACAGAGAAAAGGAAGGACTCGGGGAAGACAGCCTGACAGACTTGGAGACAGACAAAGGGATAGACATGGGGAAAGAGTAAGTGAGAATAAGAACAGGAAGGAAATAAGGACAGAGCCAAAGAGACAAGGCAGGAAGTCTCAAAAGTTTCACCTGCAAAACCCCCAGAAAGTCAGACACCGTGTACTGTGTTCAATACTCGCTCAGAGAAGACATGCAAGAAATCTATGCCGGGTGGGTGAGTGGATGGATGGATAGACAAATGGATGATGGATGGATGGACAGAGAGACAAACGGACCGATGGATGGATGGATGGACTGGACGGATAAATAAATGGATGGGTGGAGACTGGTTAAGATGGATGGATGGAAGGAAGAAAGGAAAGAAGGGATGGAGGGAGGGAGGGAGGAAGGAAAGGTGGACTGGACAGATAAATAAATGGATGGGTGGATGGATGGAGGATGGGTCAATGGATGGATGGATGGAAGGAAGGAAGGACTGGACAGATTAAATAAATGGATAGGAGGGTGGGTGGATGGATGCATGGAAGGAAGGATGGATGGAAGGAAGGAAGGACTGGACAGATTAAATAAATGGACAGGTGGGTGGGTGGATGGATAGATGATGAATGGGTAGGATGGCTGGTCAGTGTATGGTGGGTGTACTGGTTGGTTTTGTGGCTGGATGGGTAGATGTTCTGGTGGGAGGGTGGATACATGGGTGGATGGATTAACAAGTGGGTGGGTGACTGAATGAATTGATGAAATGATAAATCACTTTAGAATGCGGTGACTACCCCACAGGCCAAGCCACTGGGCAAAGGGTGCTATAACCGCTTTACCTCCCTCCTCTCGGCAAACAGTATTAAATATGGCCAGGCTCCCGGGATGCCCTGAACCCACATCTCCCCAACGTGGGGGGAGCTAACCAAGAAGGCACAGACCTTCAGGAACCGTGGCTCTCCCTCCCTCCTGGTCCCTGGGCCCACAGAAGCCTAGATGGGCCTGGGGGACCTGGGCCAGTCCAGTGCCAGAGTGGTCACACTGTCTGGCCTGGAGAGAAGATGGGCTCAGCAGCTCTAGGAAACCCACCCCTCTGTGTGGGACTGAGGAAGGGCTGGGCCTACAAGGCAGGGAAAAGGCCTGGGATGCTGAGGCCCTCTCCTCCCTCCCTCGCTCCAGCCCCTCTGGCCCAGGCTCCCAGCCCCCCAGCTTACTGGATGAGGGTGCATGTCTCAGAAGCATTTCCTTGGGGAAGGCGGGCCAACTGCTCCCCTTGGACGGCGGTAACTACAAGCCACACTTTACTGGGCCCCTATTACGTGCCGGGCACTGTGACCTACTTGTTCCACGTGCACTGCCTCATCAGTCCTCATAATAAGCCCTCTATGAGGTTGCTGACGCCGCAGCCCATTCCACAAGTGGGGACACTGAGGCAGAGGGACTGGGTAGCTTGCCCGAGGTCAGCCACAAACAAGCAGCAGAGGCGGAGCCACCTGACTCTTGAGCCCTCTCTTGGACTAGCCCTCTGAACGCCCAGGGGAATCTGGCAGCTGGGCACCTCCCCCCACCCCCGCAAGCAGGCTCAACCACCCGCCTCAATGCCAGAGAGCTGCCCGACCAAAGGCCGGGAGGCAACATGAACACTGCTGAGGGGGGAGGTGGACGGGCAGAGTGAAGACAGTAGGCCTGACAAGGACTGAGTCCGCTGCGGCAGACTGAAAACTTAAGTGTGACAGCTCCCAGCACACCGGCTCCCCCATCCACAATCGGCCACCTGGGGGACCTGCTGGCCCTACAGCCCTGTGGGCCACGGCCACGAGCTCAGGCTGACGGCTGCAGGGAGGCCGCAGTGGAGGGTAGGGGGCCAGGCGGCCAGCACTTCAGGAGAGACACGAGGCCTAGGCCGAGGCTGTCATCACGTCCAAAGGCCAGGGTGACCCAGGGACCCCCCAGCCCTCAGACACTGAGACTACAACCCTCTCTCTAGCGCCCACAGTGCTAGGTGCCGGGCACAGTGGGTGGTCGCGGGAGTCACACCCAAGGCGGGAGCCCACGGACACAAGTCAGCTGATGATAATATTCCAGGGAAGCACTGCGAAGAAAATAAAGCATTAAAATGGGCCTGAGAATGACAGGGGTGGGGCTACGCTGGAGCCAGGAGCTGAGACCTAACCGGCAGGAAGGAGGCAGTTGTGAGCCGAGGAAAGCTTGGGTCTGGCAGGGGTCATGGCCAACGTTCAGGGCAGGATGGAGCCTGGGGGCTTCCAGAAGCATCAGGGAGGCCAGAGTGTGAACAAGGAGGTCGGGGTGGAGATGAGGGTGGAATAGAAAAGGGACTTTGCAGTCAGTCCAAGCCGTGGGGGTCCGGGTTTGCTTTGTGTTTTCAAAGGTGACCCTGGCTGCTGAGCGGAGCGTGGTCGGAGAGAACTGGTTAGGAGGCTCTAGAGGGGACCAGCCGGAGGGGACCAGCGGAGGGGACAGTGGTTTGGACCAGGGACACAGAGAGGAGCTGGCAGCTCGGGGAGGCTCAGGACGTGCTCTGGAGGTGGGAGCCCCTGGCCTTGCTGAAGGACAGGCTGCAGTCTCTGCTCTGCGGGACTTTGGAGGCCTTCTTAGAGGCCCTGGGGCCAAGCCCACCCCCCCACGCCCTGCCCTGGAGTGACAGGTGCAAGCAGGAGGGAGGAAAGGTGGTGGGCAGGCGACTCGGACCCAGGCCCAAGTGGAGTGAGCTGGGTGCCCGCCAGTCCGGGGACACCTTCCCTGGCCTCCTCGCCTCCCCTCTCCTCCAAGCCCTGACACAACCAGGGAGAGCCAGAACGCATGGGAAAGGGGGAAAGGGGACCCCATCAGGGGGTTGGTGAAGTCCCAGAAATAAGTCTGTTCACGAACGTTCAGCTGTCCACTGGCCCCATCAGTGCCACAAAGGGCCACGCCCCGAGCACCACTGACTGAGGAAGCCAGTGACCAGCTTTACCAAGGAGCCAGCTTCCTAAGTAGAAAACAGCCATGGGTTTCAGTGCCTGTGCTAGGCCTCTGTGTTCCCTTCCGGGAAATGGGCCTAATTCCCTGGACCCCAGCACGTAGCAGTCAACTATTGTCCAAGCAACTCCACCCATGTGTGGCCACCTCACCCCCACTCCCCTCACCCCAGCAGGCTCTTCGCAAACTTGGCTGCACTGTCTGAAAAGCAGGGTGAGGCCCCAGTCACCCTGGTAAAGCAAGCAAACGAGTGAGCAGGGGAGGAGACCCCCCAGTGGGCATGGCCGCCTGCTGGGAAGCCCCTCAGTAGGAGAGGCAGAGCAGAGAGGAGCTGCCGCCCCTGGGTCCTCCCCTTCTCACCTCCTGCACACAGGAGTTAAGGTGCCAATCTGTGGAATATGCTCCCCCCTGGGGCCAGACAGCCCACTCCAGGGCCAGGGAGGGCTCCGGCACCGCCCACAAGTCCCCCAGGAGCCCAGGAGGGGCCATGACTCGGTGCGGGGAAGCTGCGATGTGACAGAGCCCCCCAGAAGGGAAGGAGGAAGGCTGCTTGACAGGGTGAGGCCCTGCCCAGCTGTGCCAGGAGGGGAAACGTCCCAAACAAACGGTGAGCAGTTGAGTAAAGAATGATCCCGCAAGGCTACCCCTGACGCACAAGCCCTCTTTCTGCTGAATTCTGGAGAGGGGTGGCAAGGGCAGGGGCGGTGGCCCTGCGAGTCGGGCCCGGAGCCAAAGCAGGGTGGGCTGGGAACGCCACTAGCCGGGCGACCGCGGGCTGGAGGCGCCGGCCGGCGCTAGGGCGCGCCAGGAAGACGCCGGCGGCCCGGGCAAAGTGCTTGGGAGCGGCAGTCACGGCTCCCGGCGGCCGGGTAAGGGGAGCGGGAGTCCGAGCCCGCGCGCCTCACCCCGGAGCTTTCGTGGGCCCGGAGGGAAGCCGCCCCAGCCAGGGCGCTCGCCCTCTCCTCTAGCACGTCCCGTCCTCCGCCCGCTCCGGGCCCCACCCAGCCCACCCCGGGGCCGAGACCGGCCGGGTCCGGGTATCTGGTCCCTCCTGCCCCCGCCCGTCCCCGCGAGGCCAGGGGTGCGCGGCGCGGGGCGAGAGTGCCGAGTGCGCGGCACCAGCAGCCAAGCGAGATTCCCGCCCCCTTCAAGGGCACGCGGGCTGACCCCCGCGGCGCCGCGCCCCCTCCCCGCTTCGGGCGCCCGGCGCAGGCCCCCGGCGGTCCTCCGCCCGCGCCGCGGCCAGGGTGGCCCCTATCGTACCCGCCCTTGGCGGCCCGCGCGCCGCTCCCCGCCGCTCGCCCAGCCCCGCGCCCTTGGCCGCGCGGCGCCAGCAAGGCGGGAACGCAGCCCGGCGCCCCTTCCCGCGCGCCGCCAGCGCCGCCCGCGAGGTCCAGCCCCGGGGCCCCGCCGGTCGCCTCGTCCCCCGCCGCCCGCCCCGGGCGCAGCCGGCGCCCCGCTCACCTGACATCTCGTCCTCGTTCTCCATCTCGTCCGCGAACAGCCGCGGCAGCTCCTCCTCGGTGCCCAGCGGGCCCCGCATGCCCGGCGCGGGGGGGAGGGGAGGTGGGCGCCCCCCCTCCCGCCGGGCGCGGTGCCAGCCTTAACCCGTGCGCTGCCGGACGGGCGCGCGCGGCGGGCGAGGCGGCCTCGGCGAGAAGATGGCGGCCGCCTGCCCCCCCACCCCCCCAAACCTCCACTCCCCCGTCTCGACCCCCTTCCTCTCGGCCGCCTTCGCCCCGCTCCCCGCAAAGCCCGGGTTGCTCCGCCCACCGCGCCCCGCAGCCTGAGTCCCGCAGCCGGCCGAGGTGGTGGCGGCAGCGCCGGCGGCAGGCAGCAAGAAGGGGGGGGGGGGGGGGGGGGGCGGCAGACATGCCCGGATTGTGACGTCCAGTCTGGTTGCTGTGGCAACCCCATCCCATCGTTCCGGCAGCGCGACTAGTTAACAGCAGAGAACAAGTTGGGGGGACTAGTCCTGAGACTCTGGGTGCGGGGTGGGGACAGGGCGCTCCGGCAGGGGGAGCCGTCGAGGCGACCACGCGCCCGGGGACCCGACGGCCGAGCTGGGAGCTGGGACTCGGGTGGGCCGGGCCCGGTGGGAGGCGGGGAAACGCCGGCCCGCGTACCCCGGCAGGGCCCAATGCCGCTGCCGCCCCCGCCCGGGAAGGGTCCCCAAGGGCGCGGAGGCGGGGTCCCCGGGGCAGCGGGCAGCGAGCTCCAGTACTCCGCTCACACGCGCCGAGACCCTGGTCGCCCCGCACCGGCCGCAACACGCTTCTAATCCCCTTTCCAAAGAGGATTCGAAGAAAAATGTGTTCCGCACTTGGGGAAGGGCCGCTCTGGAGACAGTGGGTCTGATTCCTCCAGAAAAATCTGTACAGGCTGGCTCCTCCCTCACCCCATCGCGCCCCGCTCCCACCGCACACGTGCCCACTTCCAAAACGCGCCTCCAGGCGGGGTCCGCTTTAAACACATCCGGACCCCCGGGGGTGATGCGGGCTCTGCGTTCTTTGTGCCCAAAACTCCGCGCGGAGCGGGAAGGAACCGCGCCGCCAGCCCTCGGTTGTTAAAGGTGAAGATGGAGGCCGAAGCCCACGGGAGCAAGACTAGAATTTTAAACACGCGCCACCAGCATCGGCTGCAGCAAGTCTTAAAGCTACTCTACGAACGCAAAAGTTTCAGGGGCGGGCTTTCTACCCCTAGAAGAGCCAGGAAAGGGCGGGCGCTCTCACCTCACTGCCTGGGGCCAGACACGTTTGGGGGAAGCCACTGGAGACCCAGTCATGCCAAGGACCCTCAAGATCTACCTGACTTGGGAAGCCCAAAGCAGCCGGGAGGAGGTTTCCTCTCTGGCACCCACCCCTCTGGTATTGGCTGAGCACCCGCTCCATCCAGGTGGGCATTCACCTGTTTCACCAGTACCCGAGCCACTGGCATCACCAGGAGGGCTCTTCCTTCCTGGGGACTTTGAGGAACCAGGAGAGTCGTGGGTGCTTGGCAAGGGCCCCTAGTGCAAGACCTCTTGGGGAGGTGGCCACAACCCACTCCACAGTAAGTCCAAGCTGTGACCTGAAGGTGATGGATGGCATGGGGCGGGAGAAGCTGGGAAAATATGCAGCACGTTTTTCCTCCCCTTCCGACCTAGTGAATTACCAGCAAGCCCCAAACCACAGCTCCTCTGCAGTCACGTTCGGGAGAGAACAGTCCAGCCTCCCAGAAAAAGCGCAGGGCACTGGGAATCCCATCTCCTGGATCCCTTTTAAACCACATTAGGAGAGATGTTGAATCTGCCCCGAGCAGGTGGCCTGCAAGGGCCAAGGGAAGGGCAACAGGGAAGCGGACTAAGAAAGCAAGGGATCCTCCTGGCCTGAAGCTGTATTTCACCTCCTGGGCATGTAGCTGAGGGAACCTCAACCACTGAGGCTTTAGCAGGCCTGCATTTTGCCTGGCAAGGCTGCCTTCCTCTTTCCAGACCTCCTGTCTTCCTGAATGTTAACCAGGAAAAGACCCTAAGCGCCACCAAACTGCCCACCCCAGTCCCCAGCCCTGCCCCCAACCCCTCCCACATGGTGGAATGAGTTCAGGACACTTCCACAGGTCCCCTGTCCCACTTCAGAGAAACTGTGACCTACAGCATTTCCCATCACCAGAGAGCCCACCACACACGCACCATTAACCTTGGCTCCAGTTCCCAAGGTGAGGTTAAGTCAGACATCATTCAATGAAGAACAGTTCCAACTGCTTAATTTGGCAAATTAGAGTCGAGATGTTCATCACTCATAATCCTCTCCCCGTCCTTGTTCTTGCGATGGCTGCAGCTAGGTAACAATACTTAATGACCAAAACCAAAGCAAAGCAGAAACTGGAAGGGCAGAAACAAATGGATTTTTGCCTAGCAATCTCTAGTAGTATTTAAAGGAGAGCGTTGATTACTGTTAAACTATTAAATATACATTTTAATAACAATGGACCAAAAATGACTGCTGTTAAAAACAAGCCCCAGGGCTTCCCTGGTGGCGCAGTGGTTGGGAGTCCGCCTGCCGATGCAGGGGACACGGGTTCGTGCCCCGGTCGGGGAGGATCCCACATGCCGCGGACCGGCTGGGCCTGTGAGCCATGGTCGCTGAGCCTGCGCGTCCGGAGCCTGCGCTCTGCAATGGGAGCGGCCACAACAGTGAGAGGCCCACGTACCGCAAAAGAAAAAAAAATAATCTGCCTGCCAATGCTGGGGACACAGGTTCAAGCCCCAGTCCGGGAAGATTCCACATGCCGTGGAGCAACTAAGCCCGTACGCCACAACGACTGAGCCTGCGCTCTAGAGCCCGCGAGCCACAACTACTGAGCCCGCGTGCCACAACTACTGAAGCCCGCGCGCCTAGAGGCCGTGCTCTGCAACAATAGAAGCCACCGCAATGAGAAGCCCCCGCACCGCAACGAAGAGTAGCTCCCGTTCGACGCCACTAGAGAAAGCCCGCACGCAGCGACAAAGACCCAACACGGCCAAAAATAAATAAATAAAATCAAAATATTTTAGAACAGACCTATAGATTGTCAAACTTAGGGAAGTCAGTCAGCCAAATTTCATATATCGCTTATATGTGGAATCTAAAAAAATGGTACAAATGAACTTTACAAAACAGAAATAAAGTCACAGATGTAGAACACAAACTTATGGCTACCAAGAGGGAAGGGGAGGAGATAAATTGGGAGACCGGGATTGACACACCACTACATATAAAATAGATAACTAATAAGAACTTACTGTATAGCACAGGGAACTCTACTCAATACTCTGTAATGACCTATACGGGAAAAGAATCTAAAAAAGTGGATATACGACAGGTATAACTAAATCACTTTGCTGTACAGCAGAAAATAACACAACATTGTAAATAAACTATACTCCAATAAAAATTCATTTAAAAAATCAAAACTATTTTTAAAAATATATTGGCTCTGTCCAAGGTTACCAAGCAGAGGCCTGTCCCCTTGGTACTGCCAAATCTGTAGTTGTCTCTTGTCAGGGACCCACTTCCTAGGGATGTGCCCCCCTCACAGGAAGGGGGGCCCGCACAGGGCCCTGCTTACAGCCTTGTGAAGTTTGGGGGTAAGTCAGCAGAAGGGCCAGGCAGCAAGAGGAAGGAGGGCAAGCTTCCAAGCTCCCCTGAGCGTGTCAGTGATGGACCAGGGGACCATTATCACCATACTGGGGTCCTGCTCACCTTCCAAGAAACCAAGAGACCCCTAAAAAGGCTGAGGCCTAAATACCCCAAAACAGTCTGTAATTTTGACCAATTGTCTTAAAATATATTTGATGTGATCCAACTCTCCCACTTTCCCCCATCTGTGACACCAACGTTTCCGAACACCTCTGTGCTAGGCACCACCTACCAGCCAGCACTGGTCTATTTCACCACGTGGCTCGTCCCAAAATGCTAGGAGGATGACACTACTCAGAAAAGCACACCTTCACCACGGAAAAAGCCACAGAAAGGGGTAGCGGGGGCTTTGGAAAGGAAAGCAACAAAATTAAACCTCAGATGAGAGATAGTGTTCACCCAGATAAGGGTGAAGCCGTGCTGGATCTGGAGTCAGCTGAGAGCAAGGCTGCACCAAGTTCCTATTTCACTACCTTTATGCACTTAAATCTCAGCTTGAAACGCTCCAAGACCCAGTCTCTTCCTGTGCCTTGATCAGGCAGGTGAAATGGGTCTGAACTGTGGCTCGGCACAGCTGGGATAATGGGTGCCGTGTGATTCAAGTTCACGTCACGTATCCATCAGAAAGTCATGTTTGCAAAGTTATTCTCCGGCTCTGGGTCTGAAGAAATTCTACATGGAGAGTTCGGTTATAAGTCAACTCCAGAACCTGAGGCACCACGGCATAACTAGGGTGAAGAAAGTGGGAATAAAAGACACATGTTCTTCTCAAACTTAATGAAGTCCAAGGTCATTGTTGGTACAGCAATTCATCAGTGAGGACAAACAACCAATTTATTGTTGCTAAACAGATTAACATGCCAATCCTTTAAAAAAAAAAAAAGCCTTGTACAATAATAGTAGCCATGCGTTAGCCACTTTAATATAAAATGTGATCAAAAGTCAAAATACAAGAGTTCAAAAGGCATAGAAAAACCAGAAAGTTTCAATTTTATTACAAGTTTTAGATTCTGGGAATAGTTTTAAAAAAAAAACTTATATGCTAATTTCAGCCCAGGGCTAATTTTTTTACAACCAAACTAAGAATTACTACAAGGGAACATCAATGCAACAAACAAGTAAAATTTGCAAACCCAAGTCACAAACTTGCTAACAAAGTTAATAATCATGGTAATGGACAGCACCAAAGAGCAACTGATGCCTCAGTTAAATTTGAAAGAAACAATGCCTTCTCTAGGGCAGAGAAACATGCAAACAATTCTGCTTCAAGAAATTTGCATAGAAATAGAAAATGCTAGAGCCTTTACCACAAATGAAATTACAAAGCCTCAACATGTTAAATTCAACCCAAGGAGCACCAAATGTTAAATTGGAGCCAAGGTATGACTCAAAACATTTAATTTCCAGCTATGCAACTAGCAAGATCACAAGAATTTCAGGTGTGGAAAGGCACCCTAGGCAAGCTCTTGA